ACAGCGGAATGCTTTCGTGGGATATTGCCGTGAGGACTTTACGTCTCGCGGATAAAGAGAAGGGATCATAAAGGACCGACGATGTAACGCCTTATTTAACACAGGAAACATTTCTTCGCGCGATAAAGAAGCGCTTCTCCGATGAAGCGCGCTCAACTGCTGGCGGGAGTTTCTCTTATCCGGATGACGACGCAATGAAATGTGCTAATCTCCATGATCGATGGTGGAAACGGCGCATATGCAATCGATAATAGATTAGAGAGTTTGTGCACAGTGATCTTGAGATACGAAAGTCCTTTTCGTCTGCGCGACACGGTGTAATCAATACAAGGAGAATGGTCTCTCTGTTAAGAGAAAGGGTTTCTTACAACGCAGTATGAGAATATAAACTCCGCGCTGAGATCTCAAACAGGCAATGACATAAATATTTAATGAACCACACATGACTCCGTTTCAATGAGATTTTAATGAGCCATTATATTGTAATTTCTTAAATTTTAATTTTGATTTATCCGAAGTCACGAATACGCTTTCATGTTAAGAGGTGAGCTAGGATTTTGTAGAAAATAGCCAATCGAATGATCAGTTCAAGGAACACGACCGGAGAGCTATGCTTATAGCCAAGCAGATCCCTTTCTCTTGCTGCACAAAAGCAAAACGTCTCGGCACGAGGCGATCTCGCTACACTCTTTGCCCTCCGTCGTCGCAAAGACCGGTAGATTCCTCACGCGAGATCATGAGGAACATTTCATCTGTAGATAGTAGTGACCGTTTAAGAAAGACGGGAACAATTCCGAGAAAATTGTCCTCACTATCATCATTCATACTCAAAAATGCATCAAAATTTAAGTTTCTATAAGATTTCTTGTTTTGACAAACCTTGTCTGTAATAATTGACTTTATACAAATTATTTTGTATAATTATGTTGGAGAGTAATAAAAAAAAAGATTGGTTTGACAACTTTCTCGTTTCATTGTTCTATGACAAAGGAATTTTAAATCTTTCTTTTTATAGCATTACCAAATATTTTTCAGATTGAGAAAAATAGGCTCTTTTTTATATTCACTTTTTCTATTTTTTCCATTTTCCGAAAATGAAAAAATGTGCCATAGAAAAAGAGAATGAAAGAGAGTGTATTTTTCTCAATTTACAAAATATTTTGTGATACTATAAAGAGAAAGGTTAAAAATTTCTTTGTCGTAAATCGTAGAACAATGAAACACGAACTGTATTTTTCTCTGTCATGCGTGTTCGCGATACTCGATATTTCAAAACTCTCTGAAGACCCACATAGTCGTAGTCACGTTCGAATTGGCTTGATCGATGGAAAAAAATATACCTGAGGAACAATGTCCACGTCGCCAAGTTATTTCTGAGATTTTTTCCTCGTATCCTCGCGTCCGAAGAAGCGAAAACCTGTTATAACAAAAAGCGTGATGCCCGACCTCGGGCAACCCCCGCCGCTCACCTGGGCACTCCGATAAATCAACCACCAACGTCGGGGAGAAGCGTCACAGGCTTAAAGGGAATAGCATAAACCGAAGGAAATAGCGCTTTCTAATCTCAGTTTTTATTACTCGACAGCATGTTAAATCCCAAGGCGCATTTATTATGCATCATATTACTTTTCATTTCAATTTACACGTGGATTTACTACTCACTGTAAGAAAAATTAAATTGTATACGTTATACATATGTTGTTTTCTTACAATTAAATGTTCAAGTTACGATTATCCTAAATCTGGCAAAATTAGTTCTTCCATAATACATTTATGTTGTCACTGACGCGACGATTTCCTTCCGGAACGAATCGGATGACAACGATTAACTATTGTTGTTGAAAGGTACTGCAGCGATTATGCAATCGCATTGATACAGTTAATTTGCAATAATAGTCGTTTATATATAATTTACATTCACAAAATCAACCTTCGTTGCGAAACATATACTCATACATCTACATACACATAAACTAAACTTAGATTTTATTTTGACTCAAGTAAGACATACACGAGACAAACACGAGATCGGATTAACGCGGAGACCTTCACCTTTACTAAAGCATATGATCCTTCAAACGATCGATAAAAACATTTCTCTTTTTTCAACAATATTTAGAAATTTAATTGTTCGAGAAAGACCGATCAAGACTTTATCATTAGAGAGTGAGCAGCTAATTCGAGGAAAAGAGAAAAATGAAAAGTTGTGGAGAAAGAGAGCCAGTCACCTTGTAATAAAAACTTCTGAACGTATAATTTTAAACTCGCGACTGAATCTTATTTTATTTCGTCATTACTAAATTACGTATAAATATCATCGTTTCCGACGTTTAGCAAGTAAAATCTCCAGAGAACAATTAATTATCTTGAAAGATACGATTGTAATATGGTCGGGACATGTTAGAGACATTCCGAGATTTCAGCTTTGGTGAATATAATTCATGACTGTATAGGAAATGTGGTTGTTTAGTACTCTGTTAATCTATTAATGACAGCTAAGTTACAAAAAGTGGTGCATAATTTTTTCGAAAAGAATCGATTATTTCACATAATCGCTTTAATTCATTATTAATTTATGTTTTTCATGTAATAATTTATTAACTGATTCTCTCTAAATCTCATAATAATTACATTAATTTTATATTATAAGTCTCCTTTTCGAAAAAAATTCATGTAATCACAACTGTACTATTAAAGAAATATTATCGTGATAAACACAAGCTGTTATTTCTATAATCGTGCCACTTGATTTAGACCAGAATTTAGGTCTCTGCGGTAATGCAGGCTTTCTTGCCGACAGTTATTGATTTTACTTTCGGAAAGAAATCTCTAAGGTCTGAGAAACACTTCATTTTTCCGTATTTATTAATGCATGTACAAAGAATAAAATATTTAATAACTTTTTGTTGCTCTCAGATCAGCGTTTTGCAGCTTGATTAGTCACTACGTCAATAAAAATGTATAGCAAACATTCTAAATCGAGCATCTTTATCAATTGTTTTTTTTTTTATTTTAATTGAAAAATAAAAGATGTGGAGAGATTTTTTTTATTTTTCATTTTATATATTATAAAAAGCAGTACTATATTAATTATCGATAGATTACAGTTTAAAAGGTTGCAAAAGACATAAATTACTGTTAATTAGTATCAGTTTTGGGAAAAAAATATTAACTGCATGATGTATTATAGTATATATACTGCATGATGTATGTATACAATTGGACATACCGAACTCGTCAATCTCAACAAAGCAAATACTTTAGATAGAATGTCAAGTTAGTATTATTGATTCTTGTACACGTATTGTGCAAAGCTTGAATTTAAAGGTATGCGAGATTTAAGAATTTGTTTACTTTGTATCAATTGAAATCTCTGAAAACAGCTAAGTCATCAAGATCATCTTCAAATAAACGTTTCAGAGAGAGAGGAAAAGCGATTGTGCTTCTTATTAAGATACTCATTGCAGAGAGAAGGAAAAAAAACGTCCTTTGGAAGTAAAAATAATAGCCTGCATAATTAAATACAATAGAAACGTCTGTTATATTCAAATGAGAGTAAAAAAGAATAACAGTGAGAAATATAATAGTATTTTCTCTTCGGTTTAAGTGTCTCATATCATAGAAACTATGACATGCATATTATGTAAATGGATGACCCATATTCGTGATATACATACGTGTGTATTTATGGGAATGTAGCAACATAGACATAATAATAATTATATAATTCTTATTTGATTTTATTGTTGCATAATCTAGAACTGGTATCCTGGAAGGCTGGGACTTACGTTACAGCTTCTTTAGATATTTATAAAAAATAATCATAATAGGTCTTTCCTGGATTGCAAGTTACACCAGGTGAACACCGCGAGAAAATATGTTTATTTCAAATGCCAAAGTGTTGCGCGCTTAATGTTTAACAAAAGGCGTAGAAACGGAGTCGGATCACAGTTTCGCACGCACAACCATAAACTCGCAGTGGCAGACATCGTTCCCGCAGTTTCAACTGATTGTATAACCGAGACATTTTCAACTCCATGAGTTTCCTGGTTGATATATACAGTTAAATCACGTGAAGCAAGATTTCGAGATATTATATACGATTAGAATAATCCAGGTAAAATTTAATTAAAAAAATATAAACAGGTTCGTATTAATAAAAATTCAAAAATAATGAAAATGGGCAGTGAATCGAGCTAGTTTTTTATTTTGTGCTATTAATATATTACCTTAATATCAATGTTACATAGTATAAAAACAAACATTTCGACCTTTTGACAACCTGTTATCTACAATGCTAAAGAAATTAAAACGCCATTAATTTCGCTTTTTAAGAATTTAAAAGCATTAAATGCGTGCGTTTAAAATTTATTATTTGTAATTTTGGTGGAATTAAGAGCGTAATTTTTATTTTTGTAACATTGAAAATAATTAGTTGTTAAAAGGTCGAAACGTTTGTTGTTATATTATATAACATTAATGTTCCGTTAAGGTAATTATATATTAGCACAAAACATCTAATTCACACACTCTCTCTTTCATTATCCTTGAATGCTTAATTCAATAATTTTACATATATGTCACATGTGAAATTTTAAATAGTAATTCAGTTTAAAAAAATTTTACAAGTTATTCCTATGAATATTATTTATTGAACTTCAATAATGCACTTCAAGGTAAAGACACTTTCATATGTATTTACCTTCAAAATTCCTTCTCAACTTTAAGACCGAGAAAATGGAGCAACATCCCTAATCGACCCTGCTCGCGTCTCTAATTATGGAACCATCTGACGAAAATCTCTGATTACGCTTTGCGCATCATGCTGGATTGTAACATCCCCTTGAAGCGTAGCGTTATAATCCCCCCAAAGGACTGAAACGTTGGCGCGCAAGAGAATTCTCGGCGCGCAATTTTATTTACGTCAGAGGAGACCTGCCATCTTCCTCGGGGATGCACACCTGATATCAAATATAATCTCCGAACTAACTCCGTGATACCTTAACATAGAGCTCCCTCGTAGTCATCGCGATCAGTCCAGATGTCGGGCACCTGGATCAGGTAGAAGCTGGGTCAAGAGGTACCACAGGTCAGGTACAACACGATCACACGCGCGTACCACTACACACTGTACACATGCACACGCGCGGCAAAAACGACTACGACTACGACGATGACGACGAAGTGTCTACAGCGTTGGACGCATGCGATCGAAAGCCGCACGCGCTATGAACACCGTCTACTTCGTCGGGTCGTACGCATTGTCACCTGACAAAATTCACGGCATGTTTGTTTTCTTTTTTTTTTTTCTTTCCTGGTCCTTTTCGTTTCACTACTCTTCGATGCGTTCCTCGGGGTAAGCTGGCACTTCCGTGTCCTCCACGAGTGGTACCAGGTCGTGTCGCGATTTATTTCTCAGGACAGGCTGCGACCATTTGAAGGAGTGATCCGGCACCACCAGCGAGAGCAACCTCTCGCGAAGGTCGTACCTTCACGTAAATGACGGCACTGCCGCCGCCAGCTGGCTCGTTATCGGGTTTAGATTGCGCGCCCCTCTCCGGCGACCTCGACGCCCACCTTCGTCGGCCCACAGCGCGGTATCATTGATGTCTCGCTCTGACGCTCGTTGGTGGTATCGTGCGGTCTTCCTTGAAGAATCGAAAACCAGCACTGGCGACATTCGACGTAAAGCGGACTCTTGGAGAACGTTCCAGACAAAACAAGGAGAACGCAACTCGATGGATAGCCATCAGATCTTGCTTCAGAAAGAAGCATCATCCAGAAAGTTAAAAATGTAAAATGTCTATTACGAATATATTAGAAAAAATATTAAATTCCTTTAAACGTTTATGGTACTCTTGATAAGCCTTGAAAGAGCAATAAACTCTATGTATGATAAGTGTGATAACGAGCATTAATTTACTTGAGTTTTTATTTCATAATTATAATTCAGGCAATTTAAACTTGGTTGTAAACTTGCCAATATTTTTAAGGATTCTGTAATAGTCATCAATTTTTATACTTATGCATACATGTACGTGATAAAAAATAATAATATTTGTAATCAAACGGAAACTACTTTATGTATCATTGTTCGCATTAAAATTCTTGTTAAACCAGTATAGGGAATGTGCCTTTTATCATTGCTTGTTCATCTGCCGACGCCTACCTCTGTGATCATTTGCTGGTAACGGAACTTGGAGCTCCAGTATATCCGCCTATGTACAGAATGTCTGCATGACTGTATTTATCTCTAAACAAAATTTTAGCTGTGAGTAAAATGTCTATTTTCTTACAAAATTGAAATGAAAACTTTAAAAAATCCATCCAATTTTGTATTTCAAAACAGAGTATAAAATAATAAATAATATAAGAGTTACTATAAAAAAGATTAAATTACATTGAAAATAAATTCTAAATAAAAACAATAAAGTACTCATAAAAAATAACTCATTCATGAATGAAATAGAAACAATGAAGAATCAGAATATAAACGTATGTAAATTGCTAGAAACTTCAGTTTTATGCTGGAACCTGACATTCAGTGACACTTTTATCATAGATATATATTTAGTTAGAATAGTTACATAATTCACAAGAGACATGTAAACGTTCAGTATGAAATAAAATAGAAGATTAGATAAAGTGACTATAAGACCATGGCATTTCTTCAATTAGTTCTCCAAGCGAGGAAGCTAGAGAAAGCTAGATTGAGGTACGAAGATGAGAAATTGAGATCGATTGAGATTTCCGAGGGTGTCAAGCCGCATCTAACTTTGAAGCAGCGTCTCCGACGAAAGAGATTAAAGTGAGCCTGTCATTTAACTCCTTTTAACTAGTATAATCTGTCGATCGATATTAATTTTACGCGTAAAATTCTACTCCAACACATTCATATATTACATTATACGTATATCTTTAAAAAATACATCAATGCTTCTCTCTCTCTTCCTTTTTCTCTCTCAGAATTTTGATAGTCTTTTTATTTTATGCTCTATAAATATTTTATTTTAGTGTATTACTATTTTGTTGTAATCAAGCTATTACACGTAATCATACTTTTATAGATACAGAAAGAAGTTTAAGCATTTCTGGAGTCGAATAATTTCCCCCTTAAAGCGTGCATGGATTTTTCAAAAAGTGAGACTTCTTCGCATAGATGGATCACTTGAAAATTACATTTTAAAGAGTATTTTTGGATTTTTGTTTGGAATATTTCTTACGTATATGTTTTTCGTGTTCTTCGTGATTCAACTAAGTTTTACTCTCTCATCTGCAACGATGTTGTGTTCGATCCTCGGAATGATCCTCACGCTCGGTTTGGCATTTTCTCATCGTATAAGGTAATTTCGTCTTACATTAATTTCAATGATATAAATACAAGAGTTATGGTCTATGATATATTAAAATTATAATTAGTCAAAAGTATTAAAATTCTATCTTGATATTTTTTACTTTTATTATATCTCATAATTTTATTTTTTTTTTTTACATTCTTTTATGACTTTATATGAACATTTGCACAGGTGTATCGTGTTTCTATTGCTGCCGCAGTTCTTTTCTAAACGTGGTAGACAGGCCTTGATGGCTTATGCCTTTATTCTAACGCTTACCGGACCGGCAAAGAATATCTTGCATAATATTAGTGTCCTTTCGGAATCTTTAGCCTGTGGACAGGTAAGCTTTTACAGGTGAGTTCGCTTACGCATTCCACTTATGTCTTTATATCTTTACACAATGTCGGATCCTTGAATCCATACATTCTTGATTCTTTTCATCATTAGATCTTTTGTTTGACCAACAATGGCTCCAATATAGCATTAGTTCTGCAACCTTTCTGTTGCGTGCACATTCTCGAATTTATAAAATTGATTATATCTATTGATTTATTATCGTTATTTGTTATTATTAATATAATTATTATTATTAATTTATATATATATAGGCAATTATTAATATAATTGATAAAAATATACATGTAGGAACAATTAAAGCAAGCCGTGAAGAACGTAGTTGATTTAATAAAAGAACCCTTCTATGCTTTGAGAGACGCGATATCGAAAGTAATAAAGGCGGTAAAGGTGGTCGTGAAGAAAATTAAGCAGACTCTCATGGCTATCAAACGACTCGTACTAAGTATATGTGAGTCAACGTTTTCCCCGTGGCTTTGCATATAATCGATCTTCGTAACTTTAAAAATGTATCTTTCAGTAAAAGTGATCACGTCGGTTTTCCAATGGCTCGGTAACGTGGTAAATATTTGTAACAAGAAGCTGGGTACGCCGTTCGACAGGTGTCAGAGAGTCTTTGAAGGTGCAGTAGATGACTGCAAGGCGAAGCTTGGCCCCCTTTTCGGAGGGATTTGCAATCTGGCGTACGTCGTCGGTGCTTTGTGCTATGTAGTGAAACCTCTAGACTTCATCTGCATGCTCGTATCTTACGTCGCCGATACTATAGTTAACGCTGTACGAGAAAGTACGTTGAGATTATATAAATGTAGAAAGAGATTTTTAAAAGAAAAAGCTTTATTAAAAAAAACTTTATAAACGAAGCTTTATACCAGAATAAATTTTTTAAAATTTTCAGACCCCTGTAAATGTCAACGATTTTAAAATTTATCGGAATATTATCTATTTACAATTTTAAATATTCATAAAGCGTTTAATCATTTCATATCTTTATAAATAAAAAGAAAAAGTAAGAGGACTTTTGATATTAAAAATAAAATTTGCATTAAAGTCGACAAATAAGAATACGGCGATTTATGAATTTAAAAATTTTTCCATCAGCATAATATTACTAAGCTTTTATATACTTCTTTCTGATTTAATATCTCTTGCTTACATAGAGATCAAAAGGTTCACTCGCCACATAAAAGCGATGTTCTACGTTAAAGTGAAATTCTCGCATTCTTTCCATTTCGAGACGAACCAAAGTAAAACTATCGAAGACGTATCGACTGGTATAATTACAGAGATACGATCGAGGACCGATAAATTTTTAACTGTTTTTGATTGGATGAGTTTCATGACCACTTTCTTCATTTTCTTCATGCTGCTAAGGTAAATTTTAAGATGACATTTTAATATTAATTTGCAACTAAAATTATTTTATACATTGAAACATTTTCTAGAATTTTGCATTATCGACATAAATGGCTGACGAGTGATCGCTTCGATAATCGCTACTTAACTGATGATCTGCGCACTATCGATCTAATAAGAACACGTCAGGATAAGGAAACCATTCTGCCGTTAAACCGCCGTGAAAGAAATCAATACATCCCACTGACGTCTGTCACTCTGATCAAGGTAGAAAAAATAAAGCTCGCGAAATCTGCAGTTTTTTTGGGCTTAACGACGTTTAAAATCTGCATCCATATGATGGCGGATTACAGTCTTTATTGGATTCTTAGCACTATTAGATATCATGGACGGATCGAAACAAAGGTATTTTAATGAGGCTAATATTAATTAGAAAATAAAAATGTATCTATAATTCAAGAATTTTTTTAAAGATTTCGTATCTTTAATATATAATTATTAGTTATCTTTCACGATAAATATGGCGACAGAAAGCTATTTTTAAATTAATTTAAAAACAGTTTTTAATAATAGTAAAATAAAAATTGATTGGGAATGTTTAACACAAATAAGCGAAGAAAATCATATTCAATCAAAATAGATCTTGGTGATCAATAATTCATTTTTATATGAATCTTACAATTTCCAGTTCAAGCACCATCAATTTATTCTATTGCTGATCGATTTATTTTTAAATTTATGATCAGCAATAGGCATTTCTGAAGAATTAAATTACAATTGACGTACATTTCGCTGACTGAGTTAATTGAATGTTCTGTTAGCTTACAACCGCAATTTTGTTATCGAGATTTGCGTGGAGTGCGGCGGTGAATATCGACAATCGGCGGTCGGATATATACCGCGGCGTAGAATAATCACGATGGAAGGTAATATAATGGCGGAACGTATATATCGATCTCTAGGTCCAACGACCCAATTTCGTGGGCGTCCATGTGTCTGGTGACGGCTATCTCGCCGACCTTTATCGAAGCATCGTGAAAGCCTTTACGCCACACGCGAAGGATACTGAGATCGATGTGATACCCTGCCTCCCAGATCCCATCCCACCAGATTTAGATCGGTATACACAGATTGTAACGTTGATCGCTTTCTGTTGGATCATGGCGATATTTGAACCGTACGGATTACGATTACGGCATGTCGTGATGTGCAAATATCATCCAGAAAGAGCCAAGCAAAGAGCAGCTTGGTTGTATAATTATATAATTAGGTAATGCATTTTTAATTAGCTAATGACGTAATCGACTGACACGCAGATATCCGAGTACTTTTAACAAAGTTTTATGTCGGTCGTTGCATAAAATATTATTAAAGGTTGATGTTGGTCTATTGCATTAAAAGTACGCTGTACGCTTCGTCACTTTTAATTGAGTATTAAAATCTGACAAGATTAAAATAAAATGTTTAAAAAACTCTCTTGAATATTAAATTACATGAAAATAACGATGTTTCTTCGATCGTGCAATTTATCGTTTAGTTTTTTTCTTACTTTAATCAATATAAATTGCAAACTGCGTTTAGTTAATGAGTCCAATTCGTGCACAGATCGAGAGGAAGCTTTCTGAAATTTGCACGACGCCAGTTGCGCCGCAAGTTCGGCATGACTGAGGGCGAGAGAATCGAGAGAGTCACGTTCAGAGAGCGATGCCTGGCTATCTGCCCTTTCCTGAACAAATTGTTCCCTCGAAAGCAGAACGTGTGTCTCCTGTGCGGTTCCGTGGAACGTTCCGATCAGGAACCGCACATTAAATGCGTCACGCCAGGTTGCCTCGGTTTATTCTGCATCCAATGCTTCGCGGACTTGCAGAATCTCTGTACGATTTGCCGATCGCCTATTGAGTACGGCGATTTGTCGGATATTAGCGAGGAACAGTAAGTTCTAATGATAAATGTTGCAAGACAGTTTTAGAAAACACGAGAATAAAATACCCTGCGATGTAACGTAGTATAATGTAAGCAACATATAAGGTAGAGATATATCGTATAGTTAAAAATATATTTGTTTATATTTTTTAATTTAATTAGAGATTCATCAGAAGATCAATTGATCGTAAAAAAGGAACCAGTGCCAATAAGTACTTATGTCGATGAAAGAGAAGAACCAATTGTAGAAGAAAAACCAAAGGAAAAAATAGAAATGAAAGATGAAATAGAAGAAAAAATACCGGACAAAAGAGTACCAGAGGAAATAATACCGGAAGAAAAAGTGTTAGAAAAAGAAATATTGGAAGAAAAAATACCAGAAAAAAGAATATCTGAAGAAAGGAAAGAGGAAAGAATAGAAAAAATAGTTACTGAAAAGAAAAATGTAGCAGTCCAAACGGACGACGATACCAGTGAAAGTAGTTCTGAATCGGTCTATAGTTATAGTATGTACTTACTTTTGTTTCACATTACACTTGTACTACAAATACATGCCTTTAAATGCACGCAATTTATTTTACAAATCATTAATTAAAAAAAGTAAATTTACGTTAATTAAAGTAATTACATGTGTCAGCTTATCAAGAAAGATCACAAGAGATTGAAGTCGAGCATCGGAGAATGCCATTCAAAGACATCGAAGCGCAGAAAATAAGAGAAGATGTTACGATTCAAGTGAGGCATTATAAAATTTTATTAAAAATCTCAATATATACATATATATAACATATATGAAACATTTTTTGCAAAATTAATTTTAATGTAAATAAACTCTTTCCAAATTATGACTTTGTATCTGCTATCGTAATTTTTAGATAAAATTTAAACAAATTATTAGTTTTTTATATGTTTTAATCAAAGCTCAATTTTTTATTATACCAATAAAAAGCAAGTTGACTTCACTAACCGATAATTAAAGACTATTCAATAAAAAAAATGTTCGATTTAGATTTTTAACGAGCCATTGGCGAAGGAAGTTACTTCGAGTAGCGAGGATCCAACGTCCTGTTTCGTGGTGAGAGCTCGTAGGAGGCTTCGTACCAGGTTGAAAAGGAAATCCTGCTCTTCCCCGCGCAAGAACGATTCCAGCTCGTCTACGTCAATAGCGGACACTGAGTCTTGCGCTACACAAGAGCTAGATGAGGAAGAGGTAATTCACATTGAGATGGACGACGGCTCAAAGGAATTACTTTTAAAAGACGGTACTGCCAAAGCAAGAAAACGAAGTAGTCGCGTAGGAAGAATCCTTGCTGCACTCACGAAAATTTCTTGGCTCGGCAAAAGAACGGTAAAATAACATCGATATCTCGCTAGCGTATTCTTTTCATTTTATTTTTAATCAGTAATTTCTGCATCGATCATTTACGGTAAATTTTCGTTTCCTTTTAGACGACTGATAGCGACGGCGAATGGCGAATGAGAAAACCGTCTCTCCTGGATAGAATAGTACGGATGCTTTCTAGAAATCAATCTACCTCGCCCGTACAAACGTATCGACGAATTCGCACTTCGAAAAAAGACGCAAAGCATAACAGCTTTTCCTCCGCTTCCTCCTCATCTTCCACCGACGAAGAGAACGAGCAGCGCGCGCTCTTAAAAGCGCACAATCGGCAAGTAGATTGTTTGCAAATCATCTCAGATCATGACGATTCCAGGGATAATATTTACAGCAGAAATTATGATTCGCATCGTGCACAACGCGAAACGATCTGTCGCCAACCAGATTCTCATGTGAGAGCTAACGATGTAAAACTGAGACATCCTCACGAGAAGAAATTTACGATGAAAGAATTACCAAGGTATAGCAAAACTGTAGCAGCTTAAATTAAATATTACTATACCAAAATAAATGTAAAATCCATAATATCGATCATTTACTACAACAACATAACTAAAAAAATTATCATTTTTAGTTGCTTGCAAAAAAAGAGCAAAAATAAAATGAAAAATATACTTTAAAAGAACATATTTCATTCCTCTATAATCAATTATTTATACCAAAAATTTCACTTTAAAATTAATATTATACAATTTTAATGATTCAAAATATTTAAACTTTTTGAAACACTTTGCTGGTTTTTAGTTGTCATTGTATTAGTAAACGAGCGTAGATATTTTTATAATGTTAATGTTGTACTCAATGTAATCTGTGTTACAGATATCTTCAACCAATTTCGAAGGACACGACGTACTTTGAAGTGAACGAGATTACAGATTTGCAATCGAAACGAGGATATGTTCACCCGACAGAATGCGTTAATATTTTATCAGATACCAGAATATTCGACATCGACAATCAAAAGACAGAGAAATCAAACATCACTAGTGATGATTATACTGAAGTATATTTCTCGTTTTCTATTTACTTCTGTAAAGTTGTAATTTTCTGGTCAACATCGATAGTTAAAAAATATAATATTTTAATAAAATTAAAATTATTATCTGATGAAAATGAGTAGCAATTTATTCATTATTTATTACATTATTTAATATTTCTTCTACTTACATAGTTATTCTTAGTCTTTATAATTTTATATTTATTTATATTTAATAATAAAATATAGATTTATTTAGATTCCTTGCTCGTGCACGTCGCAAATATCTTGCGATGTCAAAGATAGCATAAGTCAATCGGATGTGAATGTTACGGACCAAAGTAATGAAATATCCAAAACAAACGCAATGTCAGAAACGGAATTGTTGACTACTGATTGGGAAGGATTAGATCAAAGTATCTTTTGTTTCAAAATTTTATACAAAAAAAGAAATAGCATATTCAATCAAGCATATATTTGTCTGACTTTCAGAAACGAAAGCAGGAGAAATTGTTACTACGGAAAAAACATCAATAGACAGTGACATAGAACGACAAAGAGTTACAGTTTTACTCGAAAATAATCGAAGGGAATCGTTAGCGAAAAGTAGCAAAACAATTGCGGAATCAAATAATTTTATAAAAGAAAAAGGTGTGAAAAGATACTTTGCCAAAAAGAAACAAGCTGAAGAATTATCTACGGAAAAAAAAGTCAGAGAAAAAGTAATAGCATCAACTTCGGAAGTAAATGAAAAAGCCCGATTGTACGATCCGTTGGCTAGTTCGGAGTTGTACAACGTCACGTGCCAAGTAAAAAGACGCGAAAAACCTGCCATGGAAAAATTAACGAAGCAATCGGGAACGGCAGAAATACGTATTGACGATAGAAAGTCGGCGGAATTTGAAGAAGATATTGAAATGGAACAAAAAAGTGTTCAGGTTTTCGCGCATGAAACTAAAAAATCTGCACTCGAAAAAAGTATTCAAACAGAGCCGCGAAAATCTGAAAAATACAAAAGGCGTGATAAGATGTTGCATATTGACACGAAAATTTCCAAAGCAGCTGACTTGGACAAGAGAAAGAAAAAAGAAAAAAAAAGATACAAAAAATGGATCGATAAATATAAACGTAAACATAGGTAATGAGAAAAGAAAAAATATAATAAGATATTTAAAATTACTTAATGTGTTTAATTACTTAATTTACAAAAACTATTATAAAAATATAATTTCATAATGTTGTATGTAGGGAACCTGATAGTAGTTCACCACGAAGAAAACAAAAATATTGCAATAAGGCAACAGTAATTAAAGAAGAACTTTACGACAGAAGGAAACGAGAAAAGATTCACAGTTGCGATATGCAAACTCATGGACACCCCAGGTAACACACTTACGTTGCATTTTACGTGTAAGTTTCTAAGATCAATGATTTGATAGTACACGACACACGGAAGACTTTTTCTGTGCAAGTCGCACAGAATGGTGTCCTGACGATATTCGAAGACAGAGAATAGTAGTTCCTCCGTTAAGATCAGTGGCTGAATTAAGAGAATATCATCAAACTCAGTGTAATCTTCGCGACATGAAAGATACTCAAAGCAGGAAAGACGATGCCTACGATCTGAAGTCTGCAAACAAGCCGAAAGTCTGGTCTTGTCATGTTCAGCCACAATTTAAAGCACCTGAACGAATAATTTGCTGTCAAGACTATCAACGGAAACTTTTGAGTTCATATAATGAGTACGTTTATAATATAAATTTTATCTTATCTTAGAGAGACTGAATTAAAAGTATTATAGAAAATATACAGAATGGAACAATAATTATATTACCACCTTAAATATCTTCAAATCTATAAGGTTCAAAAAGAGATTTATGTACAAAATTGTACGATATAAAGGAGGCTATCAAATGGCGATAATAATTTGTCGAGGTGGAAGTGCTTTAAAGATATTAAGGTCATCTTAATTTTTTTAAATGAGTTCAGAAATATTTGTTTCCATAACATATGATAGAAATGGTCAAAACAAGTTCAGAACTCTTAACCCAAGATTGTTGAACAAGATTAAAAATAAAAAGCTTATTACGAATAGAAAAATACATTTTTTACAATAAATAAATTTACGTTTTAAAATTTATATCATATTTTATTTGTTATTTTATTATTAATTAACATATTAAGTGACGTTTATAATGTGTTTATAATAGATATTTGCATGTAAAGTGATGGACATTACCAATATGACACTGGATTCTTCTGATTACTAATTAGTTTAATCTTGTAATAATGTCGGGAATTATTAACGCATAAGTTACAATGATCCGTTCTTGTATGCCTTGAGGTAGTTGGTTCTTTTTTTATAGACTACATCTTTTATAGTTTCCCATAAAAAATCCAGTCTGGTGAACGAGCTGGTCTATACGGCTCTCACGTTTATTCCGGCGATTTGCAAATAGTTTATTAAATTTATTTCTTGTAACCAATGAAAAATGAACAGAACATTCAATTGTATTGGTACCACATTGTCCGTCGTGTGATTAAAGACAAATTTTCTAACAAAAGACCCAATTTATGCTCAAGAAAAATAGCGTAGCTACTACCCCATTCAGAAAATAAGGATCAATATTTTTATTAACTATATGACCGGTATTCATAGTTTTTATTTTAAGACCGTCTCAATAGGTTTATAATATCTTGAAACTTTACTTAAGATAATCTTAAAATTTGTAAGACTTGACTATGAATGTAAGCCGATGCTGCACTATACATTCAAAGATTATTGTCTCTGATATTCGATCTGTTGTGGCTAATAAGAATTCATTGCCCAGAAATGCATGCCCTATTATGCAAATTAACGTTTGTGTGATTAGTAAATATTGTTTTCTCAGTAAATAACACAGTATGAAAAATGAATAACTGTTCTGAATTTAATATCAAGCACGTTAACAAACTGTTTACCACAGTTTACAAAGTCCATTTCATACAATTCTTCGTGAAGGTTGAGATGGTATAGAGATATTTAGAATTTGGAACAGTGCAAAATGTGTGTGGAGTACATTCCTTCGACACTAGTTTCTGGTTCAATTTGTTGCAAACTAATGTGAGAATTTCGAGCCACTATTGCGAGAATCCCAATTTCATTCTCTTCATGATTTATTCGCTTCTCACCTTTATTTTTAAACTACCGATTTATTTAAGTTTATCACATTCATTTTTAAATGTTCAATGCGAAAGCCGAGTGCAATCAGAATATCACATTCAGCGATATAAATTTTATTCGCATTGAATTTTTTACATTCTCCATAAATATGTATCATATCAACTTGTTCTTGAAATGGATATATCTTGCACGATTGATTGATTTATCGCTGTATGATAGCTCTCTTCATACCGTGCAATTTTATTGCACAAATCTTTCTCTAGATCTTATAAACTTAAAGTTATTTAGAATGGTAATAGTCCTATCTTACATATAGAAATATTTAAACAATTATAATTTTATTCCTTACTTGTATTTATAACTCATAAGATACTACAAATAAAGCAAGATTTTAAAAATAAAATTCGATACATATATATATTAGATATATATACATATGTAAAATATTAAACTGGATAAAATATTGAATATAAAAATATTAATACATTTTACAATAAAAAAATTAAATAAATTTCTTTACGTATAGTTTATCAGAAAAGAAGCCACAGCAAATAGAAAAGAAGTACGATGTTAATGTGCGTAAAACCAGATTGGAAGTACCTATGTTGAAGAAATATCTACCTGCGTATCAAGCACCAGGTTTAATAGAAGAGCTGAAAGAACATGATAGAATGAGATTAATTCAAGAACGAGAAGCTAGAAGATGGACGGCTTTGAGAGCTCTTCGAAGCACGAGGGATTCTCCCTCGAGTACGAAATCGAAGGAGTGGGCGTGCGGTACTTCTGTAACATGCGATGCTCATGAAACCGTTAGCAAATTAACTTCGGTAAAAAAGTTTATTTTGGCTCTTATTATCTATTGTCTAAAAGTTATTTAAGAATTCTTAAACTCTGTCGTATCAAGTAATATGCTAACACAGATTGATTATTTTTTTTTCTAATTGAATCTTAATATACTTTGTTGCTATATAATTACTGGAAATGGAAAGTATTCTCAATGTGATTGTGTAGCAATGTGGTCGCTTAAGAATGAAAGGTTAAAGATATAGAGTATCTCTCAGTTTCGATATGAATACATTCCAAGGTCTCCACAAGACTGACTGAGGGGAATACCCTTCCATATCAAGAAACGCAAACCTTCAAAGACGTGGTGCGCGAGTTTCGGAAGAAAGTGATAGAAGCAGACAAACCTCAAATATTTTTATCTCAGTGCGCAGACAATTGTAAAGATCTAAAACAATTGTTTCCTCCCCAAAATGAAGACTGTGTAAGAATTACAACAACGCCGAAGTTTGAGAAAGTTGTTAACAAGTTTAAGGTAAATGAAACTTTATTCGTGAGAAATTTAACCGGGATTAGGATGGTAAAAGTGAATTTGCGCGTAAATTGCAGTTAACCATGAAAAATTTAGCTACATGTTGGCTTTTAGTATGGAAGCTGAAACAATTTAAAATTAATTTATGTTCTTCAGGAATTTAATATATATAAATGTTTTATGTTTCAATAAAATGCAATTAGTGTTATAATTAATATTCATATGCAGCCAATGTATGATACACGCGAAAGAGAAGAAGAGTGTACTACAATATATGAAGCATCGCAAAGATTTCAAAGCGAATCGTTTAGCGAGATGTCATCTATTTGCAGTTATCACAAACATCGTCGATTTGATGTTTCAACTTCGGCCGATGAAACCACAGATAATGATGTTGATATCTCATAAATGTGTTTAGTGTATAATAAAAAAATTTTGTAAAATTAGTGTGTGTTAGTGAATATTATTTAAATATTAAAGTGGCTTTTAGCCGGTAAAATTTTTGAAAATGTGTAAATAATTAAAAGCTTAATTTGTAATCAATTTTAGATATTGATAAATTCAACAGAATTTATAAGTATTTATTTTGGAAAATAATGTCAGATTACAAAAATAATAATGCAACTTTTCCAGCGATATCAAGTGTGTGTCAAGTAACGTACGTAGCAACGCACCAAATGTTTAATAAAATTGATAATAATAATAAAAAAATTACGTTATTCGCATTCACGTATGTCGTATTACATATGGGTGCAATAATTTATCACTTTATGTGCATAACATGCTGCACTGAAGTATAATATCTGTTTGAAAACAAGTGCAATGACTACCAGAATCAAAAGCAAACAACAGATTTCTTATCGGTGGTGCTGAATGCTATTACGACTAAACGATTAATTAATATGCTCAATGAACACGAGTTAAAGTTATAATGCTTGGAAATGTATTTACTAACGCGGAACTTTTAAAGATGATCGTATATTTTTCACAGGTAAATTGAGAACGCTCGTAAATCACGAAGGATTCCAAAAGTCGTGACCATCGGAAATGCGATCAACAAGCAACGTGAATAATGTATTGGTCGATTTCATGTGTGTACATACCATAGAAACAAAAAAGGAAGATAAAATAGAAATCGAAGTCCTTAGAAATGAATTCAATACTTTCCTTTTTTCCCATATTCCTAAACTGTATGTTCGATTTATAATTGTTCAGATTTATAAACAATTTATTACTTGAAAATAAATTTTTCTTTAAAAGATTACAATAGCTGGTGCTTTTAAAATTTGTTAATTTTTTAATTACGTATACATATAATATTACACTAAGAGTGCGTTTCACTTGACGCTCGCAAAACTCGTGAAATTATTTCATCTCTATTGTTTATCAAATGTTAAGGCCTTGGCATAAAAAATAACTTAAGTAATAAAACGTAAACAGTAAGCGAATTGACCAATCACAGTAGAGTTCATAAAGTCATAACGTAAGCAGTAGCTAATACAACATGTTGATTTCCTTATTACTTACGTCTTAGGATATATTCACGTAATTGCATTCATTACATAGAATGCAAAATTTGCAGACATAAAATATATACATAAAGAAAATTATCCAATCATATTTTACGTGCGTCTTTATATAAGAAACGAGATTAGATAATTTTTTTTTCTTTTTATGTATATGTTTATTCAACTATGCAAGTTTGTGTGGATATACCTTTACTGCCCTCAGTTTTTCGTGTGACATGGTCTAGAATAAAAAAACAAACAAGAATAAAATAATAATGCTCGCATGCGTCATTAACGTCAAATAAAACACACCCTAAAAAGTTTAAAAACATGTATGAAAATAACTTTCGACATTCTCTCTTTTGTCATTACTGTGTCAGTATGACGTGGTACTTAACCAAGTAACTCAAATTCTCAAGTAAATGAATGATTGTAATTTTATAACAAAGAATGTGAGCATTTTTTTAGGAATTCAAAGAAATAAAAAGTATAGTGAGTTATATATTTGTGTAACAAAACTGAAGGAAACATGCGTCACGAGAAGCGATAATGGGGGGTAAGAAGCTTACACGGGCAGAAACGATTAGGGTTAAAAATCGAAGCAAGAGGAAAAGCAGTAGATTCTCAACCGACAGAGGATTTAAAGACTCAAGAGATAGAACACGGTATTTTCCGCACAATAGATACTTTTGCACAGTGCAAATGTAGCTTACCTCTTTCGCGACGTAAAGACCATCAGTTTTCCCCGTTGAGGATCAATACGTCGGTCTTTGCCGATCAGCCGAAACTAGGAAGGAGAGAAACTCTGAAAGCTTTAGCGTGGACGAAGAGAAGGGAGAGAATATCATGAAAGAACAAGAGTCAGAAAATAAGGCGGAAAATGATAAGAGAATGCCGGAGGCGAATTGCGCGTGCACTTTGGAAACGTGCGAAGAGGAAAGGATCAAGCGAAAGATTTGCATGGATATGTTGGCGAAAAAGAAGTTACTCGCGCGGGACGAAGGTATCAGTCCAACAAGGCTTACTGAGATAATCAACAAAGAAATAAATGATTCCTTTAAACGGATCAATAATTCTATTAAAGATGCTATGAAAGGTCTCGTGAAAAGTTCAATGGTACCTAAGATGCAAGTATCCACAACATATCTTTCGAATTTTTCTCTAGATATTTCGTATTTTTTATTTAAAAAAATTAAACAACGGTTTAAATAACGGGATAAGATTTTGGCAAATAAATTTTTTTGACACAGGAAAAGAAAAAGGTGATTTTGCTATGTTCATAGGAACCTAAAGAAATATCCGATACATGTCGATCTTGCGCACTAGAAGAACGCTGTAAGGAATCACTCAACGTTTGTACCAATCGACAAATTACATGCCACGTTTCACGGCAGCAGCGTGATAAATTATCCACGCATGACAGTTCACATGTGTGCAAAAAAATGTGCGAGAATGCAATGCCATTACCAGTACAAAATAAAGTTAACAGTGAAAGAAACAGCAAGAAGCATTTGAAATCAGCGAATAATGTGAACACTGATAATCGCAGAATGACCAGGAATGTCAATATTTATATTTGCTCGGAGACTAATGATAGTAATCAGGTAAGCTTCTCAATTAATCCTTTTCACTCAATAATAATTATATTCAGATTACAAAATACATTAATAAATTGAAATTCTATCTAAAAACACATTTATTATGTTTATCGTTATGAATATGTTATATATAATTATAAATAATTTAAGTGTTTATTAATAAATCAATGCAAACGGTGATGGTACCATGAAAAAAGTGAAAGCTAATAAATATTAATGCTGAAATTAATCATTTTGTCATCCTACTCATACAATTATTATATTATGATTATTTCACTGATATATTATAAATTATATATATATAAATAATAATTAATTTATCTAATTATTAATATATCTAATTGTAATGATCAAAAAGGACAGAAAAAATTCAAGGTCTGCCGATATGGATACAAGCTTTAATACAATTACCGAATCCAATTCAAGAAGTGCTAGCAGCGCGTTATCATGCAAGCTGATAAATAGTATAAAAGAGAAACGGAAGAAATTGCTAATACAATTGCCTAATTTTATTAATGAAAAAAATGACGATAACGTCGTTTGCGATAACGGAACATTACAGCACAAAACCAGCAGGAAGGAATTTAGCGAAGTCGATAGTAAGGAAGAAGCAGATGTCAAAGTCAATGACGAGGACGTCCGATGCAAGGACGCGACTTCGTCGACCAAAGACGGTTGCTACTGCAAAGATACAGACAGCATAGCTCTTCAGCAGGACTCGTCGTATTTAACAGTTCCGTGTTTGAATTTGAGTGCGTGTGACAATACCAGACATCCAAAGTCTTGGATGACTACGTATCCTTCAGAAGCGAGAGTCAAGCTAGACGATAATGTCTTCCAGTCGAGAGTGATCTGTACCAATGTGAAACAAAGAAATAATCGTAAAAATAATGATCACAATAATAACATTCACGGAAACGATAACGAATGCACCATGTGTCATGCGGTCGATGGTAGCAGGTGGTTACCGAAATTGATCTACACAGAGTGCTCGTACAGCAAGGAATCTAAAGAGTGTTTCGCAGATGGTTGTAAATATCGAAATAAAACATTCCAGGATTCGGTAATAAATCGCAATGATATACGGAAGAGGCAGATAGGATATAAATGCTTGCAACAACCTCTCGGAAGTTGCGAAAGGGAGTTAATGGTTAGACAATGGTCCACGTGCAGTTGTATTGCGGAGGAGGATGAAGATGAAGGCATCGACAAAGACAAAATAGAGCTCCCTCAAAATGTGTGCAACGTCGCAGAGTGTCTAGAAAAAATATCTGTTTGCCGAACACCTAGAAAATTAACTGAAAGTGCAATTGTATGCGAGACGTCATTTGGCGGTGGAAAATATTTCGAAAAAACACGAACGTGTAAGAATTCGGAAGAAGATTTAAAGGACACTAGAGCGTGTGAAACAAGATTTAGAAATTTAGTCGAACCTCTGAAAGTAACAAGAGCTTGTCAGGAATTCGTTACTGAAGAATCCCCGGAAGATATCATAGTTTACAAGACAGTGTCTGGAGAACCGAATGGACTCCCAGAAGAAGCAATAGTTTACAAGACGGCGCATTCTTACTCCAAAGACACTCTAAAGGAAACAATTTGTAAGGAGATTCCCGATTTAAACTTTGCCAACCAAGACGATGTTAACAAAGTGTCTCTAAACGATGCAAAGGATAAACTTGTGGAAGAAAGTACAAATAGCTCGAACATGAATAGTTCGGTAGAGAATGCTAGCAATAAAAAGACGGTAAAACTAAATAATAAACATGATGCTGATCTCGATAATTTTACAGAACAACAATCTTCTAATGTAGAACAATATAAACAAATAAACACACACAAGATGATGAATGATCAATTAAAAGATGTATCGTGTAGTTCTGTTGAATCGATTAAAGACTTTAAACCATTGTCAAAAAATGTTTCTTCTATATTACCACGCGCGCAATTTTATAATCGCAAGAACCTTGTATCTAATTCTAGTGTAAAGAAAACATCGAAGACTCATATTAATCAGCGAAGAATGCAATCGCTTAATCGATCGATGAGGAATCACTTTCAACAATCAAATAATCCTACGCAAAATTTAGTATCAAATAAAAATAATCAACTAGAAGAAGAGACATTAGAAAACTCGCAAGAAGAAAAAGATATTTTAAAAGACATAAAAACTGAAGACAAACAGAGAGAGTCACTTTTACATCGACCGTTTAAAAAATTAGTCGATGTAATTAGACGTGGTAAGACATTTATTATAGACAGAATAGAAACAGGAAAAATGGAAGTAAAGGAAACAATTGCTAATGGTAAAAAAGATGTTGAGAAATCAGAAATTGAGGATAAAACTAATGATATAAAAGACCAGCAAGAGATTATTAAAAAAGTGACTGTACCAATGAAACCATTGCAAACAGAGATTGCAGACAAAGGTAAATTTTAAGTTAATTCATCTTACTCTCAATTACATATTAATCTTTAGAGAGCAGAGGTTTATTTTTAAATCTTTTCTGAGATCAAATTTGTTCTAATTTATTAATTTTTATTATATTTTCTGTTTTAAAATGTGACACTATTTCAGCGTCATCATAATGGTTTTCTTGTCTTATAAAGATTAATTATATAAAGCTCTTAGAATTATTTCCATAAATTTTCTGCAATATTTACTTAAAATATAAATATTACGTAATAATATATAATATAGCATTTTAATGTTTGATGTGGATAAAAATTATCGTTAATCAATTTGATGTGGCATTGCGTTAATTTTACTTATAGAAATAATTAGAAAAATTGTTACGAGACCAAAACAGATCGCGCTTATAACTGATTTTGTAATTCCTGAAAAAGGAAAACAGATAGATATTCGAAGAACAGACCAGAAAATGCCTAAATTACTGCGTGTTATCGCAGCGAAGAAATCGCATGTTCTACCAATTACAGTGACAACTGATTTTAAACCTCAACAGCTTGAAGTACTATCTGCTTCTGCTGAAGAAATTATAACTCATCTCAACCAAGAGGGACTTCCAGAAGAAGAAATAACTTTGCAGGAGCATAGTCCTGTGGAAGTTACAAAAGAAATAAAAGCGGATGTCGTAATTATGTCCGAAATTAATGTTGATATAGTTGAAGATGCTCCGAAAGATATTATTGATGAAAGTAGAGTTTCCCAAGATATTCCTATTGATACAACGAGGACTTATGTCACTTGCCCGCAGAGAAAACCAAAAGAAAGATTACAAAAGCTTATTCTTTGTAAATGCGGTTTACCTTTTGATCCGAATGGTTGTTTGTGCTCGATTGCCAAGTGTATGAAAGATCGTGTGTCCTGTCCGCAGGAGAAATCGGAAGAGGAACCGCAAAAATCTGCCCTTTGTACGCGCGAATTACCTTCCAATTCGAATAATTATCTATATTCCATTGTCAAATGCACAAAGTGCAATAGTATTATTATTGAAAATTGTCCTTGCACACACACACACAAAGATAATAGATTTGAACAAAAGAACATTTACTGTGCGCATTGTCATTTATTAATCACGAAATGCACCTGCGCATCAAATCTGAAAAATTGCTCGAAAGCTAATAAACCAAAATGTCATGGTGTATCACCTTTAAAAATCAGCTCGCAGACCTGCACAAATTATTGTATAAAAAAGCAGAAAGAACGCATATGCAGAAGGACTTGCTGCCAATCTCACAAAGAACGTGGATGTAGATGGTGTGCAACGGGCGGCGATTTTTCAAAAATTATTGATAAGTGCAAGTAAGATATAAGATCTTTTTCATATGGTATTATATGATTAAAAATATATTTATAAAATATAAATTAGTGAATATTTATTAATTAATAATTTTTATAAATCTCTCAGTCATACTTTTCCGAAATATTTCATAGATGCAGATCACAAGAGAGGTGCGTTGACTGCTATAGATTAAAAAATCAATGTTGCTGTGCTACATTAACTTTAGCAAAGGGCCATAAGGTCAAGGAAACCGGCAACTGCAAGAGGGCAATGATTTGTCTGTACTGTGATAATCCTCAAGACAAATGCACATGCAGAGCACCAATCGGAAAGTGCTTGTATTGCGGATTGCCATCAGATGTTTGCAACTGTCAAGGCGACAAGGGTCACGCTCGTGATTCTAAACAGATTGCTGAAAGACCGGATGAAAATCGAACGATTTGCGTCACCAGCTGGAAACCGGAGAAGGAAGTCAAACGATATTTCGAAAGAAACTTGAAAGATTTCGAGCCGTATTCCACTAAAAAATGTCAGTGCTGCAAGAATAAGCAACAACGTCCTAAGGAACTACCTTATCAACGGTTAAATGTTTTCTCGGAAGTGATGAATGAACTGCAACAGAAGATGAGCGAGTCTGTATGCTGCGCACGGTGCTGGAGAATTCCTTGTTGTTGTGGATTGCCAGTCGATCGAGATAAGAGAAAGGAAGAAAGGAAAGCCGAAAATTGTTTCAAGTATATAAAAGAATCTTCTGTCTGCCAAGATTTCTTTTTCATTTGTTTTACATTAAAACAATATTAAAAATAAAATTTTTTACTTATGTCAATAAATTATGTTTATAAGTTTTAAAACTTATTCTAGCAATAACTTGACTAATAAATTGACACAATTCCCTTGTATCCTCTTTCAACAGAATGGGTCAAAAGTATCGAATTGATAAAATATAGAAATAATCTTATGCCCACAAATTTAAATTTTTTAAACAAATATTCTATTTAAGAAAAAGTAAATTAAAGAATTTACGTAAAATTGTCCAAATAATGGACAATTTTATCCAAACAAAAATATCCGAAGTTATTTCTATAATATTTAAATGAAAACCATCAAAATTTTGGGTAGAACATTGAAACGAATATTTGCCTTGACATAAAAGTAATAGATCTCAATATAAGTAAGTCATTCTAAAACATCTGAAGAGTAGCAAATAATTGTTTAAAGCTTTATTGCAGTTAACTTATTATATTACACGATATTAAATATTAAACTTTTATGTTAAATTATCGTTGTATCTACCATTATCGTTCTTAGACACACCAAAATAGAAAGATCATCAGAAAGCAAGTCACCAAATAATTACCAGTGTACTCTGAATTTTACAAACGAGCGTAAAAGCACTGTTGAAAAATCAATACCAATTCGACACATTGGCTGCGTTTGTAAATTAACGCCGCGCAGATACAAGAGAGACAGATCCAATTATAAGAGACCGCTGGCAAAATGTTATTACTGCAAGAGTCTGCCTTGCACGTAAGTAAAACAAATTACACTTAGGTTTTTAATTACATATATTATTATATATTATTATAGTATTTTCCAAATTTTTCGTATGTTTTTTTTTTTTTCAAGAAAAGGAGTTTAGACCTGATGAGAGGTCTATATATTTCTTATTGTTGCTTTCTTTATTGCATTCTTTGTGTGTTGCAGTTGCATTACAGTAAAATAACCAAAACCGTGCAGATATTCGATGATTCATCGAATGAACGCAAAGACGAAAAGAATTTTACCAATTCGAGTAACGGACACAAGAAGGTAAATGACGTTTAATTATAGTACTTACGATCGAAGTGAATCAAATAATAAATAAATATAATAACGGTGTATATTTTGTATGAAATATACGTATTTAAAATATAGAAGAATAAAAATATTTCAGTTATTAATATTTTTACGCTAATAATATTAATATATTACTTAGGATATTTCTACTTTTATCTTCATTAATTATTTTCTCGACCTAAATTTTATAATATTTTATTAAATAAATAATATGTTATAAATAAATTATTCATACACATGCTCGATTTTATAATAAAACGGAAAGTTTGCAAGTATTACGCGATTTTTCTTAACCCTTAGTTCCGACTCCAGGGTCGTTTACGACCCTGCCGAATTTTCAAAGTGCTGTAGTTTTTGAAAACGGGTAGGGAGCGCGCATAAAAAAAAATATTAAAACTTTTTTTTTCAAAATATTACTGTTGGGGCTTCAACTTGAAGGTTGGAAGGAAGTTACTTGAATTTTTTCAGATTTTTTGAAGCGTTTTTATTGTCCCAAATAACGCTCGGACGCGAACGACCCTGGAGTCGGAATTAAAGGTGCCGAAAAGGACGGTCGGAACTAAGGGTTAAAAATATTTCCCTTGTCAATTTTATGACATTAACAATTCTAAATTAACTCAAAAATTATTCCGGCGTATGTAATATTTTTTTGTGCTTTAAGTAGCAAAGATAAATAATCTGTGGCATAATAAAAAAATATTTTAATAATTTAAACGAATCATTTAAGTGACAAATAAATTATTCATAATTATACGTATATTATGTGAATACAATCTATATCTATGTGTTACTAAAATAATTAATTTTTATGATTTTTCTAAATTCGCAATGCTTTAAATGGTACTGATTGTTAACTAACCATAAGACTAGTAATATTTCATCAAATTATAAGAGAATTCAATAATATTGTACATGTGCTTTGTATATTGAAAAGAATGTAAATAATCTCGATACTCAAGAAAACAAATTAGCACCATCTTATTAACTATCGCGTAAGGAGATTGATGAATACCAAAATTTGGGTAATAAATTAATAATAATGTATTTAGAGAGAGAGAACAACGCTTATGATTATTTAAATTTTAAACGCTTAATACTTAAAAAATTACTTTACAAAAAAAATGACACAAACTCATAATTCATATATTTGTGGCTTGTTTCTATATTAAATCAGCTAAAAACGAATTCTATAAATGCGAAAATAAAATTTTTATGATTTTCTTTTGCAAATTGTATAGTTTAAATAATAATGACTACGTTATTGATAATGGGTGCTTTCCAATTGATGACACAAGTCGACACAAGTATCGTTCTATCTTTCTTGATATTTAGTGATTGACAAAGATAGAACGACACTTGTGTCGATTTGTGTCATCAATTGGAAAGCACCCAGTATTATGTCATTCTAAATATTTGTAGTTTCTTAAATCAATTTTATTCATATTACTTTTTTTAAATAATGATACAGAAGAAGAGTTATGTGCCTAATAAATAAAGTTTAATTTAACAACGATGAATATACATATTATTTAAAAAAAATTAAACGAACGTTTCGATCGGGTTATTTTCAATGTTTAAATTATAACAGTCGTAAGATACATATATTAGTGTGTTCGATTCTCTGAGTTTTTGTATCCTTTCTATATAATTCAATAATCCTTTTGTATAATTCAATTGAAGTTAAAGGTATAATCATGTATATATAGGAAAACTCCTTAAAAAACTATCACGTTACATATTTGCATTTTGCAGAACAGCATAAAGTAAATGTGCATATAATGTAATAAAAATGTTTTATAACGAAGTAAAAGGATTCTGAAAAATCTTATATATATTCACTCGTAGATACTTTATACAGATAATTCCTGTAAAAGACAAAAAATAGAAATATGTAGTATTACTACCCAGTATTGGAGCAGTTTTGGAGCTCATTTTGTCAAACTTTCATTTTTGCTTATTTTACGAAAAAAATTATTATTGCAAAGTTACAAACAGTATTATAAAAATTGTTTATACTATTCGATAGAAGATACTTTTTAGTTTGTATTTTTATTTAAAAGTTTTATTACAATATTTTTTGTTTAAGAAATATTGTCCAAAACAAAGTGATATGTCGGTATCAGTAACATTCCTTTATAGATTTTTTTATAAATAACAGGAAGATTTTTACATAAATAAAGCTATGGTTCTTTTACTATACAAAAAAATGTATAGAACATAAATAATGGAGATAATTTTAGATATTTTATATTACTTTGAAATGAAAAGTGTAAAGATGATACTTTCTTCTACTATACTATAAATATAGATGTATTGTAGTAAGTCACAATACTATGAATATAGATGTAACTATAAATGTAAAAAGTGGACGAATCATGTGTCAAAATATAAAAGCTCTTTTTATATACAGAATGTTTGTTGAATCGGTTGTCATAAATTAAGATACTTCTCTCTTTCTCTCTCTCTCTCTCTCTGTCTCCAATGGGTTAATAATAAAATATTTCTAATGAATGTTTATTAGAGTTTTTAGAGAAGAATTAATTACAAAACAAAATTGTTCAGTTTTTTCAAAATTTTATTCTTTTTATAAAAAAATCAAAATTAAACTATATTTTTTCAAATGGTACCATACATTTTTTCCATGTTCTTTTATACATAAAAAAACGATTTAATGATCAATGATACAATATTATATGTATCATGATAATTATGTATTTGATCCCAAGATAATTCAATTAGTATTTATATAATAACATAATTAATCCACAAATTTCTCGACATCAATAATAGTGAAAAAACTTAATTGTAGAAAACATGTATAAAAACTTACATAGAAATAGTTATAATATAAATTGTGCATTATTTGGGAAATAAATCTTTAAACGGAAAATAGCAGTAAAAAAAGAAAACCATGACAATAATTTCTTTTATCTACGTTTCTTTTTTCAAGAATTGTAAAACCGTAATAATTCATCTCTATTCCTTTCATTGACAAAGGTTGAAAGGTATAGTCCGCGGAATAAAGAAGTTTACAAAATGACAAAGGCTGAAAAGTAGCCTGCAGAGGAAAGAAATTCACAAAATGTGGACACTTGGATGATCAACTCCAGCCCCCCTACTCCAGTAGTGGGCACCTTATACTGCATATAAGATGCTGTACCCGCGTTGTACTAGACCGGTACCAGCTGTAGGCGAGCAAAGACAGCGAGGTAGTACGGATTAGTACGTTCACGCAGTTAGTGCTCGGCGTACAAAGACTAAAGACGTTCGTATAAATCTATTGTCTTTCTTCCACTTTTAAAGTCGCGCTGTATTCTACCAGTCAAAGTCAGTTGACGGAACGAGTCAAGGTTTCCATTTTAACGTTCACGGTTTTCCGGTGCTTTAGTATTTCTTCGTAGTGCAATCGTCACATCTCTGCTTGAGAAAGCAGAGAGAAACTTTTACCGATTGAATAGAATTGTTGAAGTGTCGAAATACAGCAGCTGAAAAATGGAGATTTGCAACCGAGAGGACCGACTGTGCGATATGCCGTGCGGAAAAGCGTCGCGCCTCGTTGACAATGGGGAGAAACTCCGGCGGGAGAAAGTTTCCACCCTGCGGCAACTTATAGATGCACTATACGAGGCCTATGACACGGATAATGTGAATATAGATTACGTTAAAGATCTGATGATGAGCTACAAGAGTAATCCCGCGGAGTGGAAGAAATTTGCCAAGTTTGACAGATACAGGTGACATTGACGTTTATTTACCTACATATAACTACTTTTAGTCAACATTTAACATATACTTTCAAACAATATTAAACAAAGTACTTTTTAAGATCGTAATGTGTAAATACACAACAAATAAGTAATGAAGGCCATATACGGTCAAATTGGATCTTTAATGCCTAAGTAATTCAATGTAAATTTATATATTTATATCCAACCCTATAAACTGTGCGCTGAATTTAATTATTAAAATTAGTTACAGGGCTTAAGATGCTTATCAGCATCAGATTATTAAGATCTTTCTAAGATGTCTATAAGCATCAATATTTTAAAATTGTTTGTCAATTTAATTTATGATATTACTACTTTAGTTCTGTTAGCATTGCGTTTCAAGACTGAAAATTAAATTTGGCACGTAATTTGCAAGATTAAATATATAGTATATAAATTGACATCGAATTATTTAAGCACTAAAGATTCAGCTTAACTGTTTAAGATTTTTATTTTCTATTTATTGTGTATCTAGAATAATTTATAGTATACTGTATATTATTTTAACGCAAGATGCAACAGATATTATATTATTATTACAACAGATAATAAGTTGTTTTAATTTTGTGTATAATAGGGTCAAATATATGGTACATAAATTATGACAAAAAGAACAGTTGAATCTACTTATCAAACGAAAATAGTTGAGAAATATACGATAGCAGTAATATAATCATTTGTGATAAATAATGAAACATATTTTCGTGGTGATAAAAAAATGTTAACAACTAATCGCGGAAATACAAGAAATAAAAAATTCTTCGATAACGTTCGCTGTTCAAGAATGAAATTGTATCGTTTTCAATCTGGCATTTGGTAAGATTTACATGCCTGATTCATGATTTCACAGAATATATATCGGATGTAATTGTACAACTTGTTAAAACGTGATGCGAATTGCGGTGTGCATGCAGAAATGTTTTCATTAACTATCAGCTAATTACACATCGATAATTACAATACTATTGCAAATAAAATCACCGCATAACGATAATGATCAATTAGAAACATTCCGGAGAAATATGTTAGTGAACAACGTACTAGAAGATAAAAGTATAATAAATATTTTTATTCAACAACATATATTTGATGTATGTAAATAGAACGTATAACAACGCAATGCGAAATTGTGAAACGTAATTAATATGACGAAGTTCAGGATGGGTTATCGGCCGTGTGTTCTTCGTTTGTTGTGTCTCTCTCTAATGCTCCCATGTCAAAATGTAAAAAGAAAAATTTAGTAACCTTGTTCTGAAGTGACCTGTAACACAACTACCATTTGTATTCGTGGTAGGAATAGATGATTGCCATTTAATGACAAAAAAATACATCAGATATTAGTAGAATTGTGTCATTACGTCATTTTTTCTCAATCTTCATCAATCTCATGACTACCGTAAATAATAGATAACTCGTGTATGCAACGAGATATACACAATCTTTAAAAAAGAAAACATGTTTACGAAAAGTGTGACGAGAGTATATGAAAAGAAATGCTGAGTTTATGTCAGGAAATACTTGAGAAAATAGATAACTTTTCAGTCAAATTAAGGAGAAACTTCTTATCAGATTAAAATTATTTGCATTTAACTAATTAACAATCTCATTAGTTAAGTTTATCTCATAAAGTTAAGAATAGCACGGAGATAAATTTCGGATCAAAAGAAAAATTCTCTTAAACTTCGCAGCTTTATTTACCAGTGTGCGTACTATACATACACAATTACGATAATTGGATTAGCTTATTTATTACGCACGATCTGGCCATATCTTCATACTCGTTTGATAAGGGGGACAGAAAGAGATAGAATGTTCTAGAATTATTAGGCATTACCGACAATGTTATCTTCGTGAATATGTTGCAATGAACTGGACGATGCAACTCGTATTTTCATATTCAGAGCGCAGATAAGCGTTTTACTTAGCACAGAGATTACTATATGTAATATTCAAACGTTTTAAGCATTCAAGAAACACATTTCTGCTGACGATATGCAAGAACTCTTGTTTTTCTCTCAAATGATTCTTAACTTTTCATTTTTTCTTTCGTCATACGAATACATATATTATGTTATCGAGTGCTGTCGGAAATACGACAACTAGTTTAACGCCTTGCTAATTGTTGAAGATGTTGCATAGCTCTTGATTAGGCAAGCAACCTAGAGGAGGATCGAAAATGAGTTTACGAATTCGTGAGATAACGAGCGCGTTGGACGCAGGTGGAATTACTGTGTGCAGTAGCCAGAGATCCACGTGACTCGGGAAAGTACGGAAACTACGGTGCACGTTTACCGGTTTTGCTGTCAACACAAAGTAGAACGTAATGCCGCGTGGCAGGCAAATATTCCTTCTACTTTTCGAGATCGTTCTTACGAAAGGTCGCTAGAAAGATAAACATTTTTGGCGTTATATTTCAACGGGTTATCATATTGTTCAATGCTTTCAGCGTCAATCTGTAGGCGAATGTGCAATGTGATTACAGAAATTGTTGACAATACAGCAAATCGTATCAACGAATTAACGATAAATTTAGTGAGACGAAATGTTTTTCTGTTAAAATGAGAAATGAAACGTTTTTAAAATTTAAAACTTTTTATTTTTGAGACAAACATAGAGCACATCAATATTTAGATTTTTTTAGATTTTTACGCTTTAGATTTTTTCGAATGCTTTTATTCTCATGCTTTTATTCGATGAAGGACACTTGTACCTGCAAGCGTACAAAATATTCGTTTATATTACTGTTTCAAATCAATACTCAGATATATTTAAATAGAGAAATTTGGAGATATCTTGACACTTTTCAGGAGAGACGATATTTTTTAATTAAGACGTTTACAAAATTAGTAGATATCGAATAAAATAAAGGTAATTCTCTTTTTCTCTCTTGATTATTTTAAAAATTATATTTTCCTTAAACGGATATTAAAACTTGCTATTTAAAGATATTATTTAGTATCGGAAATTAGAAGCGATAAATAAATATCCAGAGGCGATCGACCGGTGAACGTTATATACTATATAGAGTTGGTTATATATATTGTATTTTCCATACACATATATTCCCTTTCTCCATGATTGCGTTCTGCGCAATCCAGAGAACATTGGTATCTGTACATCGCATGACATTCGTGGAAAAAAATGCGGACGAAACGTATGCTGTGCGAAACATTGGAACTTTCAAATTATATTCGCTCTGCTGCATCTCACATTTCACTGCTGGAATCGCAGATCACCGATTCGTAAATCATGCACTTTATATTAATGCCTCTCTTTCGTAAATATTGTATTTTTTTTTAACAATAAGGTAATTGTTAATAAAATGTTAAAAAAAGTTGATATAATTATTTAATAATACTGTATTACCAATTCGGACTAATTTAGATTTAAATGATTGCTTTCTTTCAGAAAAGAGTTTTCTTTATTTTCTCCTGTTAAAATTTTTGAATCGATTTAAACATAATCTGAGATAAAACTAAAATATGTTACGTAATATAATTGATTTAAGTTTTAGTAGTATTGTAGTATACAGTTTTCGAAGGATTAGTTTTCAGCTGTAAAATCTATGCCAATTTAAAACTAATTTTATACAACTATTTGTGCTTGAAAAAAAGCACAGATTCAAATTAACATTTAAATCCAGATTCGAATTAATATTTAAATCGACAAATATTATTAATTAAGACAGATCAACAGCTATAAACTTGTTACTGAGTCGAGTATGTGTGTATAATATATATGTAAATATGTGACTAAAATCTGTACATGTAGTAATTGTTTAAGGAGTATGCGTATCTGAAATGTGCACCCAGATTTTCGAAAGGTATTGACCGGCAGCAACGAAATAAGAAAATTCTGACCGGTCGGGCAACATTTTCGAAGGAAAAATATTAGATTTTGTAACTCTTGACGCTTTGTGTGCAGATATACCAGAAACTTAGTTGACGCAGGGAACGACAGGTTCAATCTCATGGTATTGTGCTGGGGAGAAGGTCACGGGTCAGCCATACACGATCATGCCGACTCGCACTGTGTAATGAAAATCCTTCAAGGGAAATTGTGTGAGGTACAGAAATTACAGATAATTATTGGGAATTATTTCAGACCACGTATCGTATATACGTTGTGATATAAAACTGATGATATCAAAGTGCGTTATTTTTTTTATTGTTAGACGAGGTACGCGTGGCCCACAGGATCGGAGACGGAAAACGAGGATCAACTCAAGGAACTCGAGAAGAACACGCTTGATGTGAACGATATTTGTTATATTAATGGTATAACTTTTTTTAAATCGTAGACGATAAGTCTTACGTATGTATTCAATACGCGATAAATGAGCAGCTTCCACAAAATTTGATGTACAACATTTTGTATATAACTTATTTTGCTATTGAATTAGGTATCGGACACGTACACAGTGGAAGACAAAAGATATTCGTACAGGGGAAATTTTCATTTAAAAAAAAAAGCTTTATTTATAAAAAGTAAACATTAACAATTTATCAACAGTACGTTCTATCTAAATATAAATAAAAAAATTTCGCAAAAATAACTATTCATGAAACTAAATTAGAAACTAAATTTCTCGACTCGAATGAATACTTTTTAAGCGTTAAAATAAACAATATTTCATTTACGCTTATTACGTAGGTAATATATTTTAATAATTATACATCTTTTAGGAAATAATTTTAAGAAATATACGACCCCTAGATTTTATTTTTTGTTACTAAATTGCTAATTAATCTTTTTTTTTCGAAAAATCGATTTTTTTTTTAGGTATATCTTCTGTATGAATACTTTTTGCACACACTGTATTATGTATTATTCGAAATGGATTTCAATCAAAATTGTTCAATTATTTCCTAGATTTCTATATTGCATTTTTTCAGTGAAAATGAAATAATTTTGATCAAAAACCATTTCGAACAATTCTATAATACATGCTTCGATCATTTTTGTAAACGTGAAAAAATCATGAAACGAAATCCCGAGCGTGAATCTTTTAATTTACAAATAAAATCATTTATGTGAATAATGTGTATAATTTTGTATATATATATATATACACATGTTTTAAAATAATCTCCGATATTTTTTTCCATTTGGAAGATTCACTAGGTTTGCATCGCGTTGAAAATCCAAGTGCGATGAATCCCGCGGTCTCTCTGCATCTGTACTCGCCGCCATTCTCATCGTGCTCGGTCTTCAACAAGCAGACCGGGCAAAAGTCTACGTGTAAGGTTACATTCTGGTCCAAGTACGGGGAAGGAAGAAATCGGGTAAAAAACTATTTGCATATCTCTCAAAAGTTTTATCTTACCGCGCAATTCTCGATCTACCTCTCCGCCAAGACGCATATCAAAGAATCTTGCAGCATCTCGAAGTTGCATTTACGACGCTGGAAGTCATTACAAAGATTTAAATTCAGTTACGGAAGAACGTAATCGAATCTTCGTCTTTTTTTATAGAAAAATTTTAGAGTTAGTTTACATCAAACCAGCGGAACGTCTCTATTTATATCTTTCTTTCAATTCCATTTTCATACAATTAAGTTTCACAAGTTCTAATATGAGTATATGTTTAATTGATATAAAAAACCTAACGAGTGGAATACACTGGCGAATCCACGATGAAGGTAATGGAGGCAATTGACCACTTCGAGTATCTCCTTTTTTAAAAATACAAAATATTATATATGTACTTTTAATATTTCTGAAATACTTAATCACAATTTTAATGTTCTAAAGATATTTTTTAATTTCCGAATCTGCTTACTGCTTTGTTGTAGACATCGTTATATATTAAAGCGTTATGCAAAAGTTTACGTTGCAGCTTTTATTTTCTGCCTAGTTTGTGCTGAATAAGCAGTGTTATTTCTTTAATGTGTGCCGATAATAATTTCAATATAAAACATTTTCGTATTTGATTTAAAACAAATTTTTTGCTTGCGACGCACAAATTCAAAAATAAAGACCGAAAAATACGGAAATGGTGGAAAATTAATGTTTTTGTTATTTTTTTATGATATGCTTCGCTTCAGGCGCATAATATTCAAGAAACTTAATTACAACCCGAAAGTATATAAATCTGCCAAAAGCCTCCATCAAAAGCTCCTGGATCCGTCAGTGGTAGAACAAGCGGAAATTTAACAAATGTTTAATTTATAGCAAATTCAAGATGCCAGATCTCCAGAGGATAACTAATCTAAGCAACAGGGCGGAAACACCACCAGCGATGTGCTAATTAAGCGTCGGCGATATTCTAATCGTATGCGGAAAACGATTTGCATCTTCTTGGATTAGATCTGGCTACTCACTTTATGCATAAATTAAAACGTCGTTAACTATTAGTTGGGCTATTACTATTGTCCAATTTTCGTTGTGTAATCGTATTTAAGTACTTAAATTTATTTGTAAGCACCTGTAGATATTTTTATGTAAGAATACAAGAATCTTTCTTTTATGATATCTATAAAATAAATTAAATTACACACTAATATATCAAATAAAGAATATATTAATAAGAAAAAAAATTTTATATTTTATATATTTTATACATGTACATCAAGCTTTTATCTGTCACTGAAATACTGACAAACATTCAAATTTTCTCTCTCAATAATTAATAATTTGATAAATATAAAGAATAACATCAATATTATAAAGAGAAGTTACATCAATATTGTAATTTCCTATTAAGCAATATAAATACCATATACTCTTTCAAGAAGAAAGTATATCGTATATTGATTGAATAATGACAAAGACAACATAAATTTAGTCAATAATCGGTCAATATAACGTTACCATAGTGAGAAATAATAATGAAATCAACGTCGAAATCATCGATTCGACGTCGATTCCATTGTCATTTCTCACTGCCATGTATGGTGATATTATTTTGGCTCTTTCTTATTTCCCTTGAATTTATATTTAATACTTATTATTAAAAGTATTGCTAATCGCTTATTTTAAGTATTAAAGATTATACTGTTAAAAATAAGTGATTAATTAGACATTAAATTTTTATAAGGGCAATAAACACATGTTGTACGTAACATATGCAGTTACAATTATTGAGTAAGAAAATTATAAATTAATGTAACGTTACTGTTCGTGTTTACTGAGAACACAAGTTGAGTTTATAAGTCAATTTAACTTAAATAATTAGATACAAATAATACAGAGAATTTTCGAAATTTACAATTACAATTTTTTAAAATATTTCCTATTTAGAATTGACTTGGTCGACAATCGAAGTTAATTTTCAACGAGACATCTTCGGTGATGGATGTCAAATTTTCTCAGAAAATTACTTTACTTATATCCGCGTTAAAGACTGCGTTTATCAAGATTCCATCTCGATAATGATGAGAGATCAGGTAAACGATTAACAATAGAATAAATAGCGAGTCGATGAAAATTGATGAATATAGCAGCGCTGTGTCCGCAACGCAAGCAGCGCGCGAAACACACGGTCATGGCCTCCCGGACGCACGTGCAGCGTGTCCGGATTCTGTACAAGACTATTTTGAGGTTACACCGCGGTCTACCGGCCGAGGTCCGGCCCTTGGGCGACGGTTACGTCCGCGATGAGTTCCGGAGGCATAAGGGATGCGTCGAGAGCGAGGCAATCGTCTTTCTCCACGAGTGGACTGTAAGTAGAGCGTCAAACGTGCGAGCGCGTTATTTGAGGTTATGTTCGCGCGTGTAACCTCGAGACGTGCGGTGCAATCATATAAATTTATTCGCGTTGCTTGAAATTTTCAGAACTTTTGCATTTAAAACGAGATCGATACTTACATAAATATATATATATATATATTAGATCTTAATATATATAAATATATCTTTCGGCGTTGAAGAAAGGGAAATCAAAGATTCTGAATGCAAAAAGTGCAAGCAACGTAAATAGACGGAATAGACCTCGTGATTTCTAATTCTTCGCAGAACTACGCAGTGTCTCTCGCCGAGCAGCTCGGGTTGAGAGGTCCTCACATGGCACAACCATTAGGGCGATACCTGAAGGAAAAGGACATCGAGAAGATGCGAGACGAGCAAGTGTGCCAGCTGTACGAGCTGATGATCGCGGCGACGGGGAAGCCGATGGATGCGAAGGAGAAGAGGTAGCTACGTGCCACGTGTCTGCACCGATCGCGAGTCTCTGGAGATTCAGCTTTCAGCCCACTCGAACTTTGGACTGTCAAAGTTGTATTGTTGTGTGAAATGCAAATAAATGATTTCCCGCACGACTCAACTCGGTCGACGATGTCGTTCACCTGACGATATTGTGTATAATAATTGTTGTTTGTTATTATTGTGTGATAGTTGTTATCTAATCATAAATATCATTATTGAGTGCAAGTTACTATATCTAAAGTGTAGTGTATGACGATAAATACAATAATAAAATTAGGAAATACAATACAAGCAAGAGTGCAACTGTAATTTGTGTTGCTTTGATGCCCAATCTGAGTAATAAATATAAGTGACATCAGTGGTTACTACAATTTATGTAACAGAATAATGTATAGCAAATTATAGTTACATGATATAGATATATAAACAATAATTGATAATTTATTTTTTTGGAGTAAACGATAACGGTAATGTCGAAGAGAATTTTTTTTATTATAGAGTTGAGTGACGTAATCTCTCTCTCTCTCTCTTTCTCATTTTAATTCAGTTCGGAAAGACTCGACAGTAGATAGTATTTCCGTTTCGTCAGTAGATTTTCCGTACAGTTTTCACACGTGTAGGAGAAATCGTGGAAAGATGAAGGCCTGGCATGACGCGGCGAGTTTGATATTAGCAGCATGTCACAAACAAACGTACGGTCGTACAGTATCGCCTGCAGTCGTAAGTGCATAACATATACAGTAACGATGTATTGTACGTACACGTGTATGCATTCTGGTCGCGTGACGAAGACTCACTTTTGATACTTTCTCGTTCCATCTTGCGACACGACTGTAATGTGGAATGAGAAAGATTTTCGACGTATTTTTATATTATAAATTATGATCGATTAACGATATATACATTTTCACGTTGAACTCTGTATTCATAATTATAGTTTAATAATAAATTTAATAAAGCATGACACGTGACTCGTTTTTATCTATATCGGTTATATGAACATATGTCTGTCGAGGAGCACTCTCGTGGATTTATTGTTTAGCGAATTCGGTCACTCGTATTGCACTTGATTAATACATTCCAAAAGCTATATGTGATATTAGTAAAATTGAATGTAAAAGTATGTAAATATTTAAACGAGTAAATACTCAATATATGGTGTTTTTTTTTTTCATTTGGTGACAACTGACAAGTCGACACAATTAAGCACCATTTTATTTTTTTTTATTTTCAGTGAATAACAAAGATAAAAATTGTATTGATTTATGAAATACCGCAAGTGGAAAGCAACTATTGTCACGTTATTGAACAGAATCTGCTTGTATTATTTCTCGTATAGCACACAAACTTGCAGCAATATTGTTGCAATGTTTGTAATGCTGTTGCAATATTATAGGAACAATGCAGTGTTACTGCAATATTGCTACTCCATGTTATACAGGTTCATTGTCAAAGTTAATTATAATAAATCTATTTTCTGTGGCCGCGCTGGTATGTACTTTTGGAACTTAAATTGAAATAGGTATGTTTGATGTTTAGTGAAAGCGAGAAAGAAAGTTTCTAGTGTAGTATAGTATATGGTATAGGAAAAAAAAACAGACTTATGGCTGCTTCGCTTTTAGGAAATACAGTCGACAAATATTGTTCTACCTTATAGTTATTCATTGACTGTCAAAAAGAATAGAACAGCAATGTTTGTATCAACAACGTCTTCTAAAAGGAAAGCAGTCTATGACCAGAATTCATAGTTCGGTGTAAAGATCGTTTTAAATATAGTCTTAAGATGTCATGAAACCAATCACAGAATGCAATATCAGCTTTAAGACATAATTTTATTTTTATTAATATATTATTAGTATTAATTTTAAGACATTATTTAAAACGGTTTTAAAACCAGAACAGATTATAATTATTGACCTATATTATACAATTGGATTTAGATACTTTATACATATAAAGAGCAGTCTTTAATATGTATTAATTTATTGCAAGCGACTAAATTAATCATTTTAGACGAGACTGAAGGTAAATTCATGATTTCAGCACAATTACAAGCTGTTGTGCCTAAAGCGTCATCAAAAGTCGAGTTTCATGCCAGGGTTGTACGTTTTCCCGGGCGGCACGGTGGATCGAGCTGATGTCAATCTGAAATGGTACGAATATTTCTCTGCCTTCGGTCTGGACAATGATAGACTTGCATCTCTAGTACCCAAAAAAACCGTGTCGCGACCGCAGATTTTTCAATCGAAAGAAAACGAGTTGCTCAAAGAAATCTCGCTACGCATCACGGCGATTCGCGAGACCTTCGAGGAATGCGGAATACTGATATGTAGACGTAACAAAAACGGCGAGGTTCATTCTGGTTGGGCCGAGCACATATCAGGTAAGAAATTACGCAAGGAATTATGGAATATATAAATGTGTAGCTAATATAACATCGGATAATTTTCAGTTCCTGAGGGCGAACTACAAATGTGGCAGAACAAAGTTCACAATGATGCTATGGAATTTTTCAATCTCTGCCAGAAGTTGAAATGCTATCCAGACTTGTGGGCGCTGCATGAATGGAGCAATTGGTTGACACCTGTATTAGCATCCAATAAACGCTTCGACACAATCTTCTACTTGGTTTGCATGCCGTATGTGCCACATGCTGAATATGAAGCTAAAGAAATGGAGGCTCTACAAGTGAGACACTTGAATAATAGCTTGTGATAACGCGTATCCTTCATTAAAATTCTAATCACTAAAAATGAATTCAGTGGGACACTCCAGAGAAGCTTTCTTCGACAGACATCACGTTTCCACCGCCGCAACTGTTCGAGATTGCTAAGTTGACCAAAGTTAAAAGTATAGATAATCTCCTGGATATCGCCATGGAACGCAACAAAAAAGGCGTGCAGTTGTGCCTTTCGGTACGTAAGCTGAACTGTTCCATTGCTAGAACTGTTGAATTGCTAAATATTTTGCATGCAGCAGAAAAGCTTGCAACAATATTGCTGTAATACAATTTGTGCTGTATGGGATACAGTACAGAAGTATGGGATGGATGTGATCTTCATCACAAATAATTATAATATGCAATATCTTATTGTGTCATTGATAAATAAATGTATTTTGTAGGTGTGGGTGCGATTGAAGGATGGCATCGCGTTCCTCATGCCCGAAGATACGATGTATCCGAAGAAAGTTGATTTGTTTAAGCAACACTTAATCGATAAGTCGGATATCACTGCAGATGAATTTGAGAAAATAACCCCTATAAAAAACAGAACGGTAATTCTCGACACGCAAATTAACGTAATTTTTACCGATAACGGCGAAGAGAATCGCGTGGTATTTCCAATACCTGGGCGTTCAAAGAATGAAAATGTGCAATCTAAAAGTAAACTTTAACATGAATAATAGAGAGAGGTATTCGATTTCGGTTTGAGATAGTTTGCTCGAAGGAAATATTTTTAAATGTTTTGAACAAATGTTAAATTAGTCACTGGGTCTGTTTTCAGTAACTAAACTAGTGTACACTGTTGGCACTTAAAGTGAGACAGGCATATGTTTGATATTTGTTGAAAGGCAAGAAAGAAAAGTTCTAGTGCAGGAACAGAAAACAGACCAATTGTATGATTTGATAAGGGATTGACGTTTCTAATAAAATAATGATTAAAATAACTTGTAAATAAATAACATAAATGATATCTTTGTTATATTTCTATAACATAATATATTCGTATTTATACCATAAATTAAACAACGTAAACACGAATGTTAGTATTAAAATTAAACATATAATATGAACCCATTATTAAACATATAATATGAACCCATTGCCTGATAGTAATTTTATATACGCAGGAATTATACGTGCGAAGCGGTAGTGTGTTTTGAAGATGGCGACTAAAAATTCGTAAATAAAGCTTAAACATTCTTTATACCACTCGTGCGGCTTTTACGCTATTTTTACACAATATTTATTAAAGGTAATATTAGTAAATTAATTTGGAAGGTTGAACAGAGAGAGAGAGATCGCACGACACGAAGTCTCGGGACTGGAACTTGCGCAGAACGCGGGTAGTATTTAGGGTGGGGGAAAAACCGTGTAAACGGGGTTTAAGGTGTCGCGCGCGTCGGCGCCGCGCCGGCAGCGCCACTCCGGGGCAGCGCGGCGAGAATCGGCACTGGCGTCTCCTCTCTCTCCTGACTCCGGCGAATCGATATTCCGCTCAAATATTGACTCCGCGATTGTGTGTGCGGTGTGCTGTCGCGAGAGTGCGAGTGAGCGAACGAGCGAGGCGAGCGCGCGCGCGAGCGACAGAGTCCGTCCCGTGCAGTCAGTCGGCGATGCTCCTTTAAAAAGCGAAGTGTACTCCGGAGTGCGCGCGCGAGTGAGACATTATCATCGCCGAGAGAGAGAGAGAGTGAGAGTCAGGAGTGACGAGAGGCGCGTATAAGGACGCGTAGGAAGTAAGGTGCCTCGTAAGCCACGCCGCGCGCGGCCAGGTAGCCACGATCCTGTGACGACGAGAACGAGCCCGAGAACGAGGAGGAGCGGAGGAGGAAATATGCTGCCGCAGGCGACGACGGGTGTGCTGCTCTGCGGGCTGCTGGCCCTCTACGTGGGGCTCACCTACGCGGCCTTCGAGTCGACACCTTCGAGCTCCTTCGATCATGGAGGTGATTCTCTCTTTCTCCTTTTCCGTCTACCTGGTCTCTCGCCGCCACCGACGCCGTCGCCGTCGCCGCCGCGCCGTGTCCTACATTCTGATCCGTCCGTAATACCTGGTCCGCGAGCGAGTTATCACACGCGTGTGTTTCTTCGAATCTCGACTCTCTCCGTCGAAGACGACGTCGCGCTGCGTCGCGCTGCGTCGCGGCGCGGCACGGCGCGGCGCGGCGGTCCGCAGGTGCGACGAGCAATAACAGGCACCTGCGGCCCGACGTGGCTGTTCCACGGCGATCTCATTGACCGTGTTGCGTGCCTGTGCTCCGTCTCTCGTTGTATTATATGTACAATACGACGAGTTGAACGTTGCACTGCGCCCACCCGGTCGATATGCCGCCGTCGTCGCTGCCACCGCCGCCACCGCCGCCACCACCGCGCGAAACGGGCGAGGAAAGAAAGGCGGCTGTTAAACCCTGGAACGATTCTTTCACCTCCGCGAGGAGAGAAAGAAAAAAAAATGCTGCGGGGAGTCGGTTGAGCGGACCACCGCTTGATTGTTGATATCTCTCGACGGACCTTACGGGGGACTGCGTCCCAATATTCACTGTCAGTGTTGAAAATCTATAGTATACGTCACGTGCACTATAGGTTTTTCAGCGGTGACAGTAAATATCGAAACGCAGCTGGAGTCTCCGCGTGACGCAACGGAAAGGTGTCGAGGACGTGTTTAAAAGGAACGCTGGTAAAGTTTCGAGTAAGGTCCTCCCGGTTCTCCGAAGCTGGTATTCATAATCGCGAGTCTTGCGTTTAAATACAGTCTTAAGATATCAATCACAGGATTGTTTTAGCATCTTAAGATGTTACTTGAGACCGTCTTGGAATAAGAACGGTCTATAATATGAATCGTGGCTTGCGAGATCTTACGAATCTTGGCCGAAATTCGCCGCCGCGCTCGTTTTGATTTTTCGCGTCCGAGATAATTGTCGTGCCAGAACACCGGTTGATTCTGTTCGAAATCGCGCGACGTCGCGCCGTGAGAGAAATTCGGGATTTGCCGACGCGTTGCATGTTAACACGCCCAAAAGTTCGCCGAACGACGAGAATAACCGTGTTATGCAAAATTTCCGGCGACGCCGGTAAAATCCATTCGTATAAGCGGCGCGTTAATAAAATTGTCGAAATATACGGGTCTCATTGTCAATGCGACACGAGGTCGCCTACCGCTGAAAGAGAAGCATAACGATGCCTCTCGTCTCTTTTTTTACTCGCGTTAAATACGGCTCTCTCCTCGCGTCGCACCTGACGGAGCGATCGACTGCGATTTCCTTTTTTTACACAGTCTTGGACTTGATGTAAACAAAATATGAATGGCAATAAAAGTCACGACGATGAGCAAATCGATACACTGGGAAAAGTTCCGACTAACCGAGGTTTTACAATAAGTTCTACATGTACTAATAGACTCTCAAAATTGAAGCGATATATTTATGAGGCTAATATTACATATGTCGTACGACAAAGCATTTCAAGCCTATTGATTGGCTACAAGAAAGAGAAGTTGTCGGATTTCTCTATCCTATAGTCGACCAATGAACTTAAAATCTCTGTCGTACGACAAATGTCACAAGAATAAATAATGAGAGTTACTATATCTAAATCACAAAAAAAGAATACATGTGTATACTTTATAAGAAAAAAATAACATTTTTAGAACGTAATTTTTATTGATAATTCTTATTAATGTAATTTTATAAATATACAATTTTAAAATTAATAATTCAAAGAGAGAGAGAGAGAGAGTTGTACGACCTCAAAAGGTACTTGTACTCTAAAAAGAGTACAATAACTCTAGATAAAATTAACAAAGGATCCAACAAGAATGGCATGTTGATAAGGACGAACAGAATTTCTGATTATCGCCTTATCGATAACTAAAAATTCTGTTCTGGTTTCTCACCAAAATGTAATTCTTTTGTTAGTTTTATCAGAACATTTTTTTTCAATGTAATGATACTTACGTACGTTTCTGTCAACGTAGATTTATTTTAATCTTGGTTTAACTTACTTTTTATCTTTTTTTAGTCTCAGGAATTAAAAAAAGGTAAAAAGTAAGTTAAAGCGAGATTAAAATTAAACTACATTGATAGAAATAGACATTTTTTATTTAAACAGAGAACAACGATTTTGATTCGTGTATACTTTAAACGATTTTCAGTAACAATTTACGTTTCTCGTATAAAATTGTCAATAACGTTTTATTTCGTTTATTTAATGGCTTCACTTGATTTAATTGTCGATCACTGAGAAAATATGTACTAAATTTTAATAGATATTTATTTGAATAATACCAACTAAACATTTACATAAGAAATATTTATTTAATAAAAAAATATAATAGTTATATTAACGATTTGTGTATCAAATATAAATAGATCTTTATAATTAGTAAGTATTCTGTGGTGGTACTATTCAAACAAATGATTTATGGAAATTTAGTACGTTCTTTTTCAGCATTGAGAAAAAATCGAGCAAATATTATTTGTGATATTTTCTTCGATATTTACTGATTGTATAAAAATTCAACTATGATAAAATATACACTTCTGTGAAACATATTTTATTAATTGTAAAAATAAGTAAAGTAGATTTGGTTTCTAAGAAGAAAATCTGATTTTGATCGTATTTAAATAAGGATATTAATTTTTGTGTGAAATATAATAACTATTATATCCCACAAATAAATTTTGAAACATTATTTTCTCAGTATACTTGGCACACTAAATATCGTGCCACGCCGATATTTCGGAAGCCTTACGCAACTTCATCCACTTAATTAAATGCACTTTTCGCACGAATGAGGCTCGCACCCCTCAGGCAATATCAGCCAGGACTCGATTACGATCGTTCACCGAATGACGGTATTAGTCATGCTTGTCGGAATAACAAACTAGGTGTGAATCACATTCAAGAAAGAGAGAAGCCCGGGGTAAAATTAGACTGATTTCGAGCAAAGACTGACGAGAGTAAAGTGATGTGACTTTAATATTCTCGTCGCGTTTCTCGCTTGAGATAAAAGGGAGAGAAGGATCGTGTTACGAGCGTTAAAAATATTTGGATGCATCCCGTGTGGCGGTGGATCGTTAATTATTTCTAATCACACCCACCCCGCTAAGATTAGAAGAACGCCTCTGCGTGGACGTTACTCGACTGATGCCTGCGATTCACAATATTTGAATAGCTTTCTCCGCGACGACTGATATCGTGGCCCACATCGCGGGATTTGCATGTCGCGATAATTGAATGCGTTCTATCGTCGCCATTCCCGATGCGACCGACACGATAATACGCTGCACGTCAAAGTATATTTCGCGTACGAATAGTTAATTAACGATCGTGGGCCGGTAATTATCGGCGAGTGAAATTAGATGTCCCGCCGATTGCACCGAATATTTTAGCGAGATGTGATCGAGCTTTAGGCATTGCCGCCGGAGACACGATGTTAATTAAGCATTATCAACACAGCACAAGTTATCTGTTCAATTTTCATCTGTTACAGTAACATTTATTGGTGCAATAACGAGATAGTTTAAACGAAATTAATGTCTTGTAGTTTCTGTAAGAATTTTTATTTTAAAAACTGCGGTTTTGTGCAGTCACACACACATTTGCTTCTTCGTAAAAGAATGATTTTGCTGAAGTACTAAAAATTTAATTACCTACAGATCTGAAAATAATTTTATCGAATTAATAAAATAATTATGTGAAATGGTTAAGTTGATTGTTAGAATATTAAAATTTTTTCGAGTTCATCATGTTTGAGTTCTTCTTACACAAGAAAATAGTTTTATTTTTATCAAAACTATTTTCAGATCTATGTTTACTTAAATTTTTAGATACTTTAGCAAAATCGTTCTTTCTGTGTACAACTTGCATATAACACGAGCTTAAGTATTGCTTGTGTAGAGTCATGCATGGCACACATATTTGTTGTACTCGATATGTATATCATTAGTAAAATGTAATGTATTTGTACGATCCTGTGACATATACATGATTTTATTTCGTTAGAGGTGTTTTTATAAAAGAAATTGTCCGCTTTGGTGCGTCCAACGCCGTTTAACGATAATTACGAGATAATCGAAAGCATATTATGCATACGTTTCATAATTGACTTCCATTCCCGAGAGCGAAAGATACTGCTTATAAATAATTATTCAGCTTGTAAAATGTATATGTAAAATTATATAATCTCGAAAATATGGAAATCTGATGTTAAACGAATCGTCAGTTTAATATAGCGGATTTCATTAAATTAAATTTTCACACTGAAATTTTCGTTATAATTGTCGTAATACTCGTAATAGTGTTTTCGAAATATTTTTAACGAGGTGCCTTACTTGTATGATATGTATTTTGTAATTAAACTCCTTGATAAATCTGGAATTGATTTTGTCGATAAAAGAATGTAATAAAATGTCTCATCTCGACTTTCAACATTAAAAATTAATTGTGTGTTTTACTTTTTTAAACTTATCTTGAAAAATAGCCTTCGCTCGAGCGATAAATAAACGTCTGGATTTATAGACAAAGTGTTATTGATCATTTCGAAAATCTTTCGCTTTATATTTTAACTCATCTAAACTTGAAATTTCCCCCCTCCCCTCCCTCTCTGTCCTCCCCCCCGTCACGTCTACTCTTTTAAATTTCTGTCAAGAAAAAATCCACTCTAAACTAGTCGCAGAATCTGTCCATCAAATGTAATCTGGTGATTCTGGGTCACACTATGGTGTCGAGAAGCTTACGTGAGGATATTAGTTGTTGACTACCGGCTCAAAATACCAGTGTTCGCAATTAACAGCATAATTATGAGCCACCGTTGCGGACATAAACGAACGCTTCTCTTCTATGTGCGCTACACAGTTGTTTAACGCTTTTCTCATTATCCGTACGTTGAAGAAGTTGACAACGAATTAACGAGCTGCTGCCTCTTTTGTTTCACTTAACCCATTTCTACTAAATTTCGAATTCTTCTCTTTCTCTCGGCGATAAAACCGCGCGTAACCTGCACCGAATATTTTTCAGTGCTTAATTAAAAAGTTCGCTTGTTATATACGTTAGAAGGGAAGCGAAAAGAGAAGGAGGAGGAGGAGGAGGGGGATGGGGAGGAGAGGGTGGAGAAGAAGGAGAAAAGGTGGGTTTTCGACCGACCTTTCTCAAACACACGTTAATCAAATTTTTCCATTCGACGTCGAATTCGCCCATTAATTTTTAACGTTTCGTTAAAAATGACAGTGTGAATTCCGAATTTATATTATTGAAGAGCACGAATTTACATAACGACGTAAACACAGTGCGCGATAGAGTCTATCAATAAATCTCTCGACAGGATCATCATAGAACAATATAGCAACGTCTATGCCAAGCATTTTATTGATGATACACTTTATACTATTATGTAAATTCGTGCGCGTGTTGACCTCAATGCCGATTTCTCAAATCCCCGCGTGTTTAACGAGGGACCGTAAATTCATTCCGAATGCCGTCCGTCTCGAGAGATAAAGTTGGCGAAATCAGGCTATCCGTCTTCTCGGAAAAAAAAAAAAAGAAAGAACGGTGCGAAAAACGAGCCGAAAGCTTCTCGACGAGTAACGCGAGTAGCTTCGATTACTCTGGCGACTCCGCGTTAGAAATAGCGAAACCGGAAACTGAGTAGGCGGTCCTTTTTCGCCTCTACGCCAAACGAGATAATGTTGGCGGTCACTGATCAGTCGTATACATATGTTTTCGCAGCTCCACGACTGGACCTGGAGAGTCTCGAGAGTGGATATCACGGCCTGGTCAAGGAGAATGAAACTTTGGTCGAGGTCACGCCGCAGATTCGCGCCCTGGGAACGAAAGTTTGCTCCTTCCGCATAGCGAACAAACACCACGGCGAGGCACCATTCGAGATTGTCCTGAAGGAGAAGGGGATGGCCGAGCTGCGGGCGTTCCGGGTTCTGAATTGCGAAAAACGCCGTAATTACAAGTTCGACATCGCCGCAGTCGGCTGCAATGGAGTGCAATCGGAAAAGTACGTTCTTGTGTCTGGCATTTTACACGGCGTGGGTACAGCCCTCGTATTTGGCTCGAGCAGTCCCGTGAATTTTCATCCACGCGTTTGTTAAGTCTAGCGAGTACGTATAACGCGCGTTCATTCGAGGAAACTCCTGCGAGATAAAGTAAACTTGACGAAAGTAGAGCGGAATGGACGATACGGAAGAACTATACCTAAGTTTATAATTGCGAGAGTCAGCCTGCTTCAACACGCAATTGCTTTAGCGCTGAAAAAAGTTCCCTATCGTATGATGCTCTCGGCGCTCAGATAACAGCTAAGTAGAAATGTACACTTCCATCTCGTCAGACTTTTCTTCATACATCGCAGTTATCTTTTTCTGCTGCATACTTAGATAACTAGAAGTTAACTTCCGTTAAAAGACATTTACATAACAAAAACTGCGAGATAATATAAATATCCCCTATAGATATGTTATTATTAAATATAACTCAATGTTTTATATATTTTATTTTTTAGAATATATTATATTCAATTTCGGGTGTATTTAATTAAAAAAAAAAAACATGTTTATTACTGTTTAAAAATTAGCCAGTCATGTTGAATAATAACAAACTTGTATGAAATTTATCGTATTTGTTACATTTATCATGTTGCAAAAAATATGACATGTTTGTTACAGCCAAGAAATTAAATATTTCATTCCATGTGATGTTTACATCTGTTACATTCGTAATTTAAACTTTACGTGCCTCCAGTAACATAAGCATAAATTGCTTCATCCTTATACGTTATCGTCGCAAACTATATCATTACACGCGCCGATGTCTGAAATGATAAAAGCGGGCTTATAATGTCATATCGGAGATGTATCGTCTTACTCTGTATTTATCAGTAGTTAAAGTCTATAATAAGTCAATTTGGGAATATGGGTCATCGAATAGCGTCGCGCCAGCACAATGCCAATTTTTTTGGCTCGCGTCGTACGGCACGTTATAGTCACAGCATGTATCGGCTAAATGAGGAAATAACTCCCGGTCCAAGTGCACAAATTTTCTCATTACGAGAGTTGTACGATTTCACGCCTGTCTGAAACGGTAACTGGCGACTATTCCCTCGCGTCCGTTCGCGTTTGCTCTCGATCTTTCGCCTCGATAAATATTACACGTCCCTCGGAATGAAACTTTTACGCTCGCGATCGCGACAGCTAATAAAATGTATTGTAGACCCGAGGGGAAGACAAAAGTTATGAAACTAGAGTAGGTATACGAGACATCGAAACAGGTGACTTTGGCTTTTGTTAGAGCACAAATTCGCACAAATTCATAATTATAATCGTACATATAATTTGTATTTGTGCGAGTATAAAATTGAAATTGTGAATGCAAAAGTAATTTATAAAATGTTTAATTTCGCATGCCAAGAATACAATGTCTGTAACAATTGAAGAGCTTACTGCGCAACAGTGGACTAACCCACATTTTGTAAAAGCGGGGAATAAATGAATTTTTCCCATCACTTTAACTTTAGAGTTTATTTCCTCTGTTTTTACAAAATGTCGGTTAGTCCATTGTTGCAGTTGCTTTTCAATTAGACAACGATTGCAGTAAATTTTGTTACATCCGAGTAAAATTAGGGTAAATAGGAAAGAAAAAAATAACTTACTGTGAAAAACTAGCGCGATGCTTGTTTCGTTTCTAAACCGTCTTGAAATCTGTCTCACCTTGCCGAATCGCCGCCAACGAATAGCAGATCAATAGTGAAACATGCCGTATATACATGCACAACATACGACGCTTTTATATATAAAAGATTTCGGTGAATTTTTCATACGCAAAGCAAACGAGCGATGTTACAATGAAATTTTACTTCGACCGTCGCGACGGCCAAATGAAACGCCATGGCGATCGATTGATATCGCGTGCCTCAACCGCTGATATTGCACGTCGTAATTTCTAATTAGGATATCGCTGTATCCGGCACATTATTATGACATTAATATGGAAGAGTCGAGGCAGAATATCGAGCGGAGTTGTTTCGATTATTTATTATTATTACACGACGCGTTTGGCGGATTTTCGGCGCATTGATTTTGTCATGTCTAAAATTTCAAACGTAAATAGATTCCGAGTGCGTAATTCGAACGGTTCGGTGTTTGAACGCGTGTTTTCGGTAACAAAACAATTTCGAGTCGAAATTCAATCCTTTTCTCTCGCACGTATGGTCTCTGCGGTATCGCATTATTGACTTTTCCGTTGTACGCCGCGTATTAAATTTCCGATATTACTCCGAGTGGACACTGCCATATAAATGTTTTACATTAAGTATATCGACAGTATTTGCTTGACTGTAATTCTTTTAAATCCCTTCCCAACGGGTACATGAGATAAATGCATTCCTATGACAGCACGGAAATATTAAAAAGATATAGGTATAGCTTTCTACTATAGCACTGCATCGCTTTGCGCTGTTTAAATTATCGCTAATTCGAAAAACTATTACGGTTAAATTCATTACGAAGGTAAACGTATCTACGAGAGCGTGAAATAGCTAATTATCTCGATGCAAAAGTTATTAAAGTAACCTTTACGACTGGAGAAATAAGCTCTTTTAAATTCACTGTGGAGATTATAATGGAAATTCTTGGTTGTAATCCGTTCTGGGAACAGTCGGAATAATTTTTCTAGTAGTTGGAAGTAAACATTTTTACCATTCCGTTACAACGTGGCGCATTTGCGTAGTTGCAATTTTTTAACTCTACCTGAATCTTATTGAAAAAATTGCACAGATTTCTCAGAAAATATTTCAAAATGAATTGCGAATGCATAAACGGAGAGGTAGGAATTCGAAAGATCTAGGCATTCTACGTCTTTTATCACGCGACGCATTTATCCTGCGACATGTCGTTATCTGTGCTAGGAGAGTAGAGAGACCTTGAGATGCACGTGCACACTTCAATTTTATTTCAGCGCTACGGTTCATATTACTGTGGTTGACGTCAACGAGTACGCACCGCAGTTTCTTCAGCCGGCCTACGTTAGCACCGTGGACGAGGGACGCCTCTATGAAGAGGTGGTCCGCGTCGAGGCGTCCGACCGTGACTGCACGCCGAAATTTGGTGATGTCTGCAAGTACGAGATCCTCACCGCCGATCAGCCGTTTATTATCGACAACGAGGGTGCCATCCGCAATACCGAACCTTTGGACTACGAACGCTCGCACAACTACATACTCAGCGTGGTCGCTTATGACTGCGGTATGAAACAATCGGCGCCGGCGATGGTGACGGTCAAGGTGAACCGCGTGTGTGCTCCCGGATGGCGAGGAATCCCCGAAAGGGTAGATTACGCTGCCGGCGTCGGTTCACAGCCTCTGCTGCCTTCGGCGCGACTTGACCTTTGTGACGCACCCTGTATCCTGCGCAACGTGCGTGCCACTCTGACTTTGGCCACAGATCACATCGGCAAGGGTTGCGATCGTGACACCTACGGGGTTCGCAGCCAGCGAAAACTATGTGGCGCCTCGCGCGACAGCGTGGATCTACTGCCAACGCCTGGACCCACAACCTCCTGGACGGCCACCCTTTCCAGAGACGAGGGTAGAGAGGCTGATGAAATCTTTGAGTTTGACGGCGTGGACTCGGCCGCAATCGTACCGAACGATGTACTGGAGCATAGCCTGGCGCAGAAGTTCACCATCGGTGTCTGGGTCAAACACCGACCACGCCCGCGACAGGATCCACATGTCAAGGAACACATCTTGTGCGCTGCCGATGATCACAGTAAGTTTCAACGTAACGAATGCTAAAATTTAACTTTTGATGGCATTTTCACGACATTTTTAATATTTGTGTTTACTTGGGTAAACACAATTATCAATTATTTTTCAATGTTATTTTATCAAATAGTTTTGTATTCGTTTAATATTTTGTTTCTGTTGTTCTTGTTAAGATAAGAGTGTCTTCTGCTTACAAACGGAAGATGCCCAGCGATAAGAACAACAGAAGCTTGTTGATGACGAGGAAAATAATTGTACAAAGAATTTTCTTGATATTGAATTTTCACTGATGCCTTTGAATATCATAAAGATTAACAGTATAATCATATTTCACGTTTATCACGCTCATGGTTATCCTGATTGGCTTTGTAACAGGAAAACAAGGAAATAGTCTATAAACGTTTCATGTAAAAGCAACTGAAACTTGTTGATGATGAAGAAAATAATTGTTCAAAGAATTTTCCTGATATTAAACACTGACGCCTACAAAAGTCAAGATTTTAGACTAACACTATACCGTCATGTTCACGTTCATCACGTTCACGGTTATTTGATTGGTTTTATAATAAGAAAACAAGGAAATAAGCTGTAAACTTTATAATTTTTATATAAGAGCAATTTGTTGTTGATAACATTGATAACGAACGCCTTTAAAAATCAAAGACTTTAGACTAACACTGCAGCATCATGTTTTACGTTTATCACTTTTATAATTGTCTTGATTGACTTTATGACACGGAAACAAGAAAATAGGCTATAAACTTCACAATTTTCATATAAGAGCAACTTGTTGATGACGAAGAAGATAATTGTACAAAGGCTTTTCTTGATATTGAACTTTCATTGACGCCTTTCGAAAATCATAAAGATTAATTAATATGTTCTTACACGTTTATCATGCTCATATTTGATTATTCTGATTGGATTTTAAACAGGAAAACAAGGAAATGAGCTATAAACTGTATAATTTTCATTTCTCTTTATATCTAAAGAAGAGAGAATAATTATTTTAAGCTGCTGATAAGCTCGCCGGTCGTTTCAATGTCGAGCGATGCTCATCGATGTAGCCGCTGTTAGCAGAATACATTACGCGCTGCCGAGAGTGCGCGCGCTCATGCGTTAAAATATACACGTTCACTCCGCGGAAACGCTTGGGTATTATCGTGAAGTTTCGAACAAAGCGGCTTAATCCTTGCGCGGAATGAATTTTGGCAAGAAATCAGGTCGAGCGCGCTTATATAGGTCGTCGCTCGCTCGTACGCTCGCTCGCCTTCGCGAAGAGTTCAACTCAAATATCCTACCTATCTACCCGGTCTGAAATACAAATCTTTCTAAATACCAACCGGTCTCCATGGGCGACGTGTAATCCTCGGTTATAAACGTTCTCTCTCCCTCGTCCTTCTCCAGCTCTACCCCTTTCACGTTAAATCTCTCTTCTACCCTTAATGCCGTCGCGCGTTTCTACACTTTATTACGCGCGGCGGCGTCACGAAAGGTGCAACTAACGCCGCGCCGTTTCAATTACAGAGATGAATAGGCACCATTACGCCCTGTTCATAAGGAACTGCAGATTGATTTTGCTGCTACGACGCGACTTCTCCGAGGGTGATCCCAACATCTTTCGTGCTGCCGAATGGCGTTGGAAGCTTGGTCAGGTATGCGACGATAAGTGGCATCATTACGCGATCCAGGTAGACTTTCCACGTGTCAATCTATATGTGGATGGCGAAGAGTGGCGCGCTGACGAGAAGAATCCCGAAGTCATCGATGACTGGCCTTTACACCCGGCTAAGGGCGTCAATACCACCCTTGTAGTCGGAGCGTGCTGGCAAGGCTCCGAAAATAAGACCAAACATCATTTCCGTGGTTACCTCGCCGGCTTGTCCGTTCTAGTTGGCCGAAATGAGAAACCGGAAGTACTCTCGTGCTTGCGGCGTTGTCAGGAAGGCATTCACGTGCCACCAATGGACTTGTTGCAACCGGGTACTCAGCTGCTGACCAATTCCGATATGACTGAAGTACGTATTGATGGTGACAACCGTACAAATGTGGAAACCTTACTGCGCCGTATTGGCTACTCCAACACTCGACGTTTTCCAACGCCCGGCCGCCGTAACTTCCGCCTTGACACAACGATCGTCTGTGAGGGTAGCGAGAATACGCCCCTACCGGTACCGACTGTGCAGTCTTACGTCACCGTATTACCGCCTCCTCGACCAGGCATCACCGTTAACGGTACCGGTTACGTGGCCCGAGAATACGCTGATTTCCGATTGGGAGTACGTGTGTTCCCCGACGCACGCGTCACCGCCGGATCGGCCGCCCGATTGGACGCCTGCGCTGTCAGTGTTTATCCAAGTCTCAATCCTGATCACGAGAGCCTGGGATTACCTGGTGACGCTCTGCTTGCGTTTCACGATATCTCCGCTCGCGTCGATCGAGATGGCGTCGTTCTCTCCGGCGCAGATTCGCCTTACAACTACCAACAACTTATCCGTCTTATCATGTACACGAACCGCAAGCCGGCTTACTATCTCGATCGCGTCTTTAAACTTACCTGTTCCGAATTAAGCGGTCGCTTCGCTAGTAATGAATACGTGCAAACGCTGGCTGTGATTCATCCTAAGGAAAAGACGACCGTTTTACCGCACACGACGCCCGGAGAACCACCCATTGCCAGAATCGTTGAACCGGCACCGGGTCACGCACAGCTCTCACCGCATCACGCCGATCTAACTGAGGAATACGCTACAGCCGCGCTTCGTGAAGGCAGCAGAACCATCAGTGGCACTGGCAGCAGCCATGCCGTGACCATCGTTGCCGCCGCTTGCATCGGTTTCCTGCTATTGATGGCGGTTGTGGGCGCTGCGCGAGTCCGCGGAGCGGCCAAACGACGACGATCTGCCGGTGACGAGCTCGCCGCAGAGACGGAAATGGCCTGGGACGACTCGGCTCTCGCCATCACTGTGAATCCGATGGACAGGTTGACGGAACACGATCAGCATCATCAGAGCCAGCGGGACGAAGACGTGGATGACTCTGCTAGCTCCGATTCCGAGGATGGCTCGTTCCGAGATGATGACCTTGACAGCTCCGACTGTGAGAACGATTGCGATCTCAGCAACGGTCGGCATCGCCGTCACACCACGCCGCACGATCTGGAGTGGGATCATCGTGATGTTTAAATCATCCTACTATCTTTACACTGAGCATTCACACATCCCCCTTTCTTCGAGTGACACTGAGAGGAGTACTGGCCGCGTGCCACTTTCTGTAAAATTTCTCCATTATATATCGTTTCTTCTCACCGTGCGCACCCGTCTGATACTTGTCGAACACATTTCAGAAGTATCTCGCGATGAAGATTCCTTGCGTAGCTATCGGCGGCTTCGCGAATTTAATCCGCGAGAGTAAAGAGTTTCGGATTATCGTATACGGATCTCTCGTCGAACGCGACGTACGTCCGAAAGATCGGTTTCTCGAAGTTCTCTTCTCGTGCATCAAATATCACGAAAGCGTCGTTAAGGGATTAGAATATTTATTACGCTTTTGAATCTCCAGAATATAGAGTAATAAGATTGAACGTTCTAAGCCGCTCCATACACCGCTCGATCGATTCTATAAACGATTATTATCCCTCTTTACTGCGCGAGAGCGTTATCGTATTATCCGTCCCCACCCGTTCACCTTTTCTCGTAGATGACGTTGGTATAATCGATGAGGTAACGAGATATAAAACGGCATTCAGTTAGTACTCGTCTTAAGCGTCAGGAAAAACTTGTAAGAGTGCGGGACGCTTTATTGAATATAGTTAAAACTCTTTCTACCTACGAACACACGTCGCTGATGTTTGGTAGAATGGAAGATACACGCAAAAGATACTTAAAATGTCGTCGGAAAAATATTTCCGACGGGAATATTTACGGTAGTTATTAATTTATATTCTTGACTCTCATCATTGGTAGTAGTAGGACAAGGGAACTCTTTTTTTTATACTCCTAACTACACGTATCTTTCCTTCTTTTTAACGGTTATCGCTATTTTATTATTACTAATCGCTGCGACTATATCTAGCCATATTTTATCGAAAGTTGTTTTTATTATTATTATTTTTATTATTATTGTAGGCAGGACGGCCCGGTAGCGTAGTTTTAAATGCGAAACAGAGTGCTGAGCCGACTCTATATTCTTCCTCGTCTTCTCGACTAAACTTTCTTATCTAAGGTGCATTTGATCTCATGAATGTAATTCTCTTGCAATAATCGTGTCTTTCGTATTTTGATCAAAAGCGCTCGTGATACGAGCTGACGTTAATTAATAAACTGGCAGCGAAACGCGCGTAGATACGAAAATAAGCTGCAAGCTAATCGCTTCGGTGTAGCACGTAAATCGGGTTGAACCTGGGCCATACGATGCTTGCCCAATTTTGCACTTTTATTTTTAAATATCGTTACACCTTCGATCGTTTTCTTTCGCACGATGTTCCTGATTGGTCTGCAGAAGATGAGTAAGGACATTGCCACGCATCTTATGCTAGTGCTTCAACATTTAAGATAATCGGTATAGCATCATATCCATGTATGATGCGTAAGCATGTCACATCACATACAAAAATGGCGCGTTTAAAAACGAGGGTTTTGCCAGTCGTTAGTCCGTCAACGCTTGGAGAACATGAAATATTCGGCAAGGGGAATAATCTACACGCGAGCAGACGCTTCATGCGTTATGTAATTTCCTCTGATATAAATATTCATTTCTAATTAATTAAAATTATCTGACACGTGAAGGATCGGTTTAAGGGTGGATTATTCACTCCTCGTCTGAGGTTGTTTTAGTTTATTTATAAGCGTTTGACGAATTAACGGCAGTTAACCGTACGTGGTTTATGTGCGCGCGTCACGCACGTGCTCTACACACATATACATATATATATCAGCATCCATTCATTATTCCGTGGCGAGAGTCTCGTCTCGAGTAGTAGACGATTATTCTAAAGTAATGCGCAGCGGCTGGAGAAGCCATTGAGCGTGCTTCTCCCGTTAATCTCTCCGACCCAAGACGTGTCGTATCGTGCAATCGCTCTTTTCACAGAGAGAAAACTGATGCTTTTACGTGCCTTTTAAGCAAGTAGTATACGTTGAATTCGTATTGTCTACATTAACAGCGAATTTCAGAAGCTGTGCGTTAACTTTTTTCTGTTTTCTTTTCTTCACTGTATCCCGTCACCATGGGCGGGTCACAGTCCTCTATTGTTGTTAGGAACTTCTCGCGATATCGTAGCTCAGGCGCACAATATAAGCTTGCCATGCAACCGCCACGTCCCGATGCGGGTTTAGCTCTTTTATCGCTACCTAAAAGTGCGTTATAGTGAAAAGTTCCGGTTGTATTTTAGACATCTACCGTTATAGCGAAAAATTCCGGTTATATTTTAGACGGTTACCGTTTACGATCTAGAAGTTAAGGACGCGCGTTCGCCGATCGACGTCGCGCGATCACCAGGCGTCCCTCCTGGGCGACACGCCGTCGTCCGGCAGGCTGTCGATGTACAATACCTGTCGATGGTCCCGTGTCGGAAAACGCGTCATACACGTGCAATGATCCCGTCGTGGGGTACATTAACTCTCTTTCTCTCTTCCTCTCTCTCTCTTTCGTCAAAATGGTGACACGACGGCTGCGCATCCGTTATCGTCGCGAAATAATGAACGGATCCTCGTGTATGTGTGTGTGTCTCTGTATTGACATAAATGTAGAATTATACCGAATTGTTCGAATGCGGAGGCACCAGTACCGAAGAACTCGCGTACGGATATATCTATATTCATATAGGGAACTATAATGAACACACAATTTATTTTTTCAACGAGCATATCATATCATTTTTATAAGGGATTCGTCGGAAACGTTTTTTGGGAAGCTTTGCTTCGCCAACAGTGATCGCGAAACGTCGCGACTTCGTAAGGATTTCTTTCTCGTTCTCGGGGGATAGGTTTCTTTTTTCCCCATCTCTCTGTCTCTCTCCGTTCCCGGGGAGGGTTAAAAATACGCACCCTCTCTTATGCATTTCTCCGACTTGCACGAAAACAGATATTTCGATCGAAAATTCGAATTGCTCTAAACGAGAAAGCGGAGCTCGATGGAAAGAACCACCGGAAAGAACAAAAAAAGGCAAACAGAGGCGTGCATGATCGTTTATCTGTTCCTGATAACACCAGATCGCATACATACACTTATATACATAAAATACCGATGTGTACGCTTGCTTTTGTACTGTCTTTCCTTTCCTAGTGTTTTCTCCTAACGCGATTTTATTACACTGCAACGCGAATTTTATCGTAAAATGTAATCTCGTATTTTATAAAGATCGTATAGCAACACGGTGAAAAGGTAATCAATAAAAAGTTCAGCCGATGCACTCGCGACGGACCTCCACCGTGGAGGTCCTCACAGGATTGAAATCAAGAAAGGATCTGGCCTTGATGAGTGTGTCTAAATTAGCTTACGTGAATGTGTACACATGCGTTTATATGCTTATTAATCCTCGAGCATAAGTGCACAGGGAATTATACAGTTCGGGAGATATTTGGGGTTCCTATTTCGTTTGACCGTCGTACACGCGACATCGTAAATAAGCGATAGGGGCACTTTTCTATCGGGTTCATCATGCGATGTCGATGTAACGAAGTCAGAAGAACGCGTGGAAATCGCGCTGGGAAAAGGGTATCTCGCAGAAAGTGATTTTGCCCAATGACCGTACACGCAAGGGGCATCCCTTTATTTACGCGAAACAGTTCCTCGTTGATTCTATCGCTTCTCCTCTATTCTCATTACTTGAAAGATTCGCCATTCGGAGTTTCCCTTTGTTTCTGAAAAAATAATATATTTGCTTATGTGAAACACAGAGTTGGGAAGTGAGTTACTTGTGACGTCGTTACCATTAAAATTACTTTTTTTCCAGTAACGAATAGACACTCTTTAAAATTTTTAGAGTGAATGTCATTCTAAAGAATAAAATTTCATTTTAAAGATTAAAAATTGAATTATTCTTTTTCAAGACTGACTCAATTTTTATTCTTTATTGTGAGATTCTACTCCAAAGTATTTGTTATGGAACGACGTTATTTGTAACATTAATGGTAACGTCAAGTAATGCAGTTACTTTTCTTTGGATAACGAATATAATCGTTACTTTGTATATACACGTATGTACAATATATTTGTATGAAACGTATAAGTGAATTTAAAAAAAAAAGAGATATGTTTAACTATGTCAATGACGAAGATAATTGGATATCACTCTAAAAAAGGGGTTATCAAAATTCGCTGAGAAAGTAATAACGCGAAAATTATAATTACTCGTTACTTTTCAGAAAAAGGAACGGTAACGAGTTACTTTTATAAAATAACTTTTTTCCAACCTTGAAAAAATTAAAAAATAACTTTAATAACGTAGTACATAAATGGGTCGAAGTCAACAACAAGCAACACGTGGCTTAAGTTACGTCAAGCTCGAGCTGTCTTGTATGTACACTATTTAATATTCTGCAAGAAAAAATATATGTATAGATGATCCTTAATTCGAACGCGATGAAATAAGGGACGCCCATGCGTTTTGCGAACAATTCTTTCGTTATTTAGCGAGATATCGGGAGGTCAAAAGTCTCTTTCGACCGAGGAATCAGGAAATCAATGAAACGAGAAGTGATTCGCAACACACGTGAACCTAATCGGTTGCGCGCATCCGCTCCAAAGATGTGTACTTAATCATTTAATTAAACGGGAAATGAAGGAACGCAGAGAACAAAACCAACTAGATGATACTATTATATAATATATACATAAAAAAAAAATATATCTAAGCTGTTTGCAAATGATGACGATGTAAAGGGGTAAAAGAGGGAAGAGTAAAGGAAATGAGGGAAAAATAAGAATTTGTAATGTACCATTGTATTTTGTAGGCAGCTAGAGCGTGTACGTATACATATGCACAGGTACCCCCGTGTATGTATGTATGTATGTTTACGTATATAGATATACATACTCTTCCCCCGTCTTCGTCTCACTTATACACACATACGCATACACATACGTGCCGTTCGTCTGAACGGCCAGAGGAAATATTTTGAATCTTAAGGGAAGAAGAACGAGAGAGTTCGGAAAAATCGGAGGCAGTAACACGTCAAATCTTATCTTCCGAATTTCCGAGAGGAGGACTTCCTCTCGTCTATCACGACAAGGCGAGGGGCATTCTCTTCAGCGCATATTACACGCCCGCCGCCACCGATGCGTATCGACTTTTACATACACACACACAT